TAAATATTTTTTAATCTGATTTGTTGTTACTGTATAAAATGTCTCTTAAACGTCACACGCTCCACTAATTTCTGTATGTATGAAAGGTATACCAATGCATAGCATCATCATTTTTTGATTTGATTTCAACAAGTTTTTAGTCAAAAAAGTTTGATATGTTTATTTAAACACACTATGGCATAGGTAAGTAGTGTGCCGTAATAAATATAATAAACCTAGGTACCGCTTAACAGTTTGACCACAATCTCATCTGGTGGTAACGGAATCATCACTTAAGTTTGACACGGCACAGTTTGATATGGGCCGTGTCTACTCATAAGACACCTAGGTTATATGTACGCCCTGGTGACAATAATGTATTTTTTCTTATACTACATACTTGTAGAGATTTTCATAGACCACCTTCGAGACCAACGAACAAGAATAAATATGACTTTATCATTGTTCCTGTTGAATAACACAGGTCGGCACAGAATAGTTAGACCGAATTAATCAGAATTATTTGACACGATCTCATACTTACAATTTATCTACGCTGAATAAATGTAATGGATGACATTGCTGTATTTAACATTATCCATATTTTTAATGAGTAATTCTGTAACCTGTATTTCGTACTCGTGGCAGCCTTTAATTAACGCTACACTACAATATTTTTTTTAATTAATAGGTCGGCAAACGAGCAGACTTATTACCTGGTGGTAAGCACACAGCGCCGCGCATAGGGCGCATAGGACCCGCAACGGAGGAGTTACGAGTGCGTTGCCGACCTTTTAGGAATTAGGGTTTTGGAAATTTAGGGATTGGGAGGGATCGGGAAGGATTGGACCTCCGGTAACCTCACTCACACGGCGAAACACAACGCTGTGGTTATTTCACGCCGGTTTTCTGTGAGGCCGTGGTATCACTCCGGTCGAGCCGACCCATTCGTGCCGAAGCTTGGCTCTCCCACACTTGAATTCTTCGTCATTTGGTTCAATTGTTTAACGTGTCCGTGTATGAGTGTACGCTATAAAAATATCGATCGAAAGAAGTAGCTCGCGTCACAAATGCTTAGGTTCCTAATCAACAGTTATCTAAACTATGCCGTTGCCGCTATCGTTGATGTTCTAGAATTAATTGTCCTAACGAACGCAAACATCAATGTTTCATTAAATTTTATCATACCTAATTGAAAAAAAATACATACCTACATACAGGGTGTAAAAAGGCACTTAACGAAGCCGAAAGCCACGTATTCTACCCATTATTTGGATCTTTTTTTTTCTTTAAGACCATAGCTGGGTCTCTACGGGTTCTCGAGATATTGAAGATCAAAGATGCATTTTTAATTTTTTTTTGCGCAATCAAAATTTTTTTCCGATCAATCAGGTAATGTTTATTACATTACCTGATTTTCGATTTTTCTAAATAAATTACGCAAATAAATGCAGACCCGCACAAAAAACATCGTGCATCTTCAGTAGTTTAGGCTCAGAAGGATTTTTATTTTACAGAATTGTTTTGTTGTGGCGAAGTAAAACGTCGACCTACGTACTTATCACAGCGTTTTAATGCTAAGCTGTGAACCTACGCACACAATGACACGAAACCCGTTTGCTTTACATTGCGCGCAAACAAATGATTATTTTTTGATACCTAAAAATAAAAGTCGTTTCCCAGTGATAATTTTAGCGTAAAGCTACTTAGTTAGAACTGCAGTATGCGTAGTTAACGGCTTTGTTAAGTGTCTTTTTACACCCTGTATATCAACTCGGACATATTATATACCACCTTTTTGGAAATTTATTTTCTTTTTGTGTTTTGTTGACCCCAAAACACGGTTGGACGTTGCTCAAATGCGACGTTGACGTCAACACTACTAAAACGCCTAGTGATTATATAGAGAGATTATTTTCACAAAATTTTGTGTCTCACGATACTTTTAAATATATGAAAATATGCAAAATAATATTTATACAATTATGTACCTAGTTTGTAGCTTGTGATCCACCAAGTAAAGAAAGCTTTATTTTGGTACCTAGAGATGTGAATTTATACATACGGCTGGTATTCTTAAGTCTCAAAAGTGGATCCGTGGAAGGCCTTAAAATTTATTATTTATTTATTTATTTGAGGACAACCAACAAAGCATACACCAGAAAACACATGTTATAGCATTCACGTAATTACGTATTTAAGTGTGGGAGAGCCAAGCTTCGGCATGAATGGGCCGGCTCAACCGGAGTCATACCACGGCCTTACAGAAAACCGGCGTGAAACAACCACAGCACTGTGTTTCGAGTGAGGTTACCGGAGGCCTTATCCCTCCTCCTACCCCCATCCCGGCCTAAGCTTTAAATATCCGAAACCCTTATCACTACAAACGAATTCGTCTCCTTTGGTGTTGCGGTCGTCTATGGGCGGCGCTGTTTGCTTACCATCGGGTAATTCGTCTGCTCGTTGGCGACCTATAGCATAAAAAAATGTTTTAGAAGTATCATTTTTATTTTCGTAATGCTGCCTACACGCTTGTCAAGCTGCATACCAAGCATGGGAGTTGTGAAGGATAAGAGAAAGAGGTCGCCTGAACTTTATAATATTTAAACATTATAGATAATCAGCTTTTGTCCGCGACTCCGTTCGCGTGGAATAGTGAGTTCCGGAAAAATGTTGGTATAAAAACTATCCTATGTCCTTTTTCAAGTTCCAAACTATATCTGTTTCAAATTTCACAGAAATCGGTTCAGTAGTTTAGGCGTGAAGAAAAGACAGACAGACAAAGTTTTAAATTACTTTCGCATTTATAATATTAGTTTGGATGAACTAAGGCCACGTAGAGAGACAAGGAACGGGGTGTTTAGTCACAAAGAGTCTGACACTCCTCTCCACCTAGGAGAGGAGAAATTCTAAATGAAAACCCCCATAAAAAAATATAATACCTATCAGACGGGTACCAAAGGTTTTTAACACGACTGAGTGACTTTGACCCACAATTACCTGTTCAGAGTGGGATTATCATTGATAGATAATTATAATATGTATTGGATAAATGCCACTAGTCATGATTGATTTTATGACTTGTACTTAGGTACGTAATACTGAGTTGTTTTGGTTTAGAACGCTATACCTACTAAGTTGTTTTTCGTGAGCATCGTCAGCTACAGATAGCGTGCGTTGCTCAGAAATTATTTGTTTATCTATATTATCGTTTGTCCGGAAATGATTACACTATTAGTTTACTTATAACGTTTTCGTCTATATCAAGGATCTTCACGAAGCATTACGGCCCTTTTTTTGTAAGGGGAAAATCATCCATGTCTTCTCTCGTCCAAGGTGAGACGAGACGGAGTGTCAAATTCTTACTGACTACTCCCCCTACCCGTTCCTTCTCCTGCTTTAGGCCGATGCCGCGGTATCGACCCTGTGCCGGCCATCTGTGGTGGTCTATTAATAAAATTGACTTTTTGAGGCGCGCGCGGAACGCTCCGCGCTGTACGCTCGGATCTGGTTCTGGTCCTTTCCTCGTAGTAGCTTACCGGACACGGCAGCTTCGATAGGTTCTGTTTTGGATTTTGGATTCGGCGGAAAGTATCCGAGTGTCGTCATTGTGAAGACTACCCAGAGGACACGGTGGAGCATTCGGTGGCGATATGCCACCCTGGTATCATCGTGTCCTCAGAGAAGTGATTGGCGGCGGTGACCTTAGTCGAGCCTTAGTCGAGGCTATGGTGCGAAGCGAGAGGAACTGGGAAGCCGTCTCCTCTTTCTGTGAAGCAGTTATGCTCGCAAAGAAGTAAGCGGACTGCGTGAGGGAGCTCTACTCTTCCTCGCGCCCCAGCCGCCGCAGTGAGCGACACTCCGGGCGTCGGGGATGAAGAGATGATCTCCGGCCACCGTAAGCGCAGGTCTGCGGACTCAGACGACCAGAACCAGACCCGAGCGTACGGTGAGCCAGCCACTACAGCCGGGGTCCCACAGGGCTGATGTTCCGCCGGGTTTGCGGGGTAAGTAATTTATCTCGTATTAACCTGAGCGGGAGAAGCCACATGATGATTTTCCGATGAGAAAAAAAAATATATACATGATTTTGTAACTGATTGGTATTTGAGATCACCATGGACTCTTTTACATACTTACTTATTGACATTAAACATGTGCCATAGTACATGTGCAGTTTAATCATCTTGGATGATACCTCTTGGATGATATGATGATGTTGTCCTGACATAATTTACATTGCACACCTCCAAATTAATTGTTTAGTATTTGTTTTTTATTGTTCAAGTCACTGTTTAACCTAAATCTCTAGAATCGATGAGCAAGTGGGGGGTGAAATAAATAGCCACGAAACATGAGAAGAGGGTGCTACGGCCGTATCCGTCTTGCTCGACACTTGGCTGGGGTACTGCCCACAGATTGTAATTTACTTAAAATAATAGAATAAAATTGATTAAGATGTATGAAACAAAAATTCGATGATTCCTTTAGTTTTTTTAACAGGGTCTATCCGAAATAAATTGAAACAATTTTTATTACTCATTTATATAATAACTAGCGGTCGCCTGCACCTGCGCCCGCGTGGATGTCGATTTGTCAAGATTTTTTGGAAATTTTGTCTTATTACAAACCTTCTTTGGGGTTACAAAAATAATTCAAAACAAAAGTTAGCCAAATCAGGAAAGACATTATTGAGTTATAACATTACAACGAAAAGTGGTATTGATTTTCATATTTATAGATTTGTTTACATAAAATCGATATTTTGTAGGCAGAAATTTATTTTGCTATCGAGTTTTTTATAACTGTGATTGCGTTCCAATCCTTATTTGCTGTTTTTAGTTTGACTTTGGATTTTGCGCTTTTAAATAAACCCCATAAATGCTCTGTTGCGTTTAGGTCAGATGTGTGTACAGAAGTTCTATGGAATTTACGCGAAACCTTGTCGTCACCATTGCACCATAGCACGGCACGATATCCTGCTAGCATTTAAAGCCATTCGTGTCTCCACATAGAGTGAGAGACATACGCCAATAACACTGGTTCTACTACATATACTTTTACAGCTTTGCTGCAGAGTACTCACACATCATCAACCCATAAATGCCCAGTGCTGAGCAAAGGCCTCTTCTCACACGGAGGTTTGAACATAAATCACCACGCTTGCTCAAAGCGGATTGGCGATTTCAAACTTATAATCAGAAATTATAAGTCCAGGTTTCTTCACGATGTTTTCCTTCACCGTATGTAAGTGGTGTAGGTATGAGTAATCATAGAAATTTCATATGACTCGGAAAAAGTTGACGTTGGTACTTGCCAAGTTTCGAACAGCCCCGAACCCTTATATTGCCGCCACCTTATTTTGAAATTGATAATACACACTCTGGTTTAAATTCTTCACTAAACCGGCGATGCAAATCACATCAGGTATTCCAAAACGTCCCGGGCACAAATGGGCTGGCCCAACTGGAGTGATACCACAGCCTCACAGAAAACCGGCGTGAAACAACCACACCGTGTGCCTTAACAAGTACGTAAACCATAACGTTCAGTAGTAAACCACAGGTAGAGTCATAGCCATATTAATAAATCATTTATCAGGTATACGGAAAATCTATCAAAGCAGATACAATATTTTCGCGATTAAAGCAAAGATAAAATATAACAGATAAGCCTCCATATAAATTAAAGAACACAAATTATTTTTGATTGTGCTACGATGGGAACCACCGACCCCACAATGTCGAAATTAAATATATTAGTATTTAGCCTTCTTGGATTAATTAGTGCGTGTGTGGGACAGAATGTTATAACATCTACCAGTAACTGTGCGACGATTATTAACGGTCTGCCAAGATTAACAAATTTTAACGCCAGAGACGTAAGTATTTTTTTTTTATTTCTAGTTTCAACTCTTTTTCGTGAAATATTGAAGTTAATTTATTTATAACTAGCTTTTGTCCGAGACTCCGTTCGTGCGGAGTAGTGATTTTGTGCAGATTTTTGGTATAAAAGCTATCCTATGTCCTTTCTAGAGTTACCAAATTTCACTTTCCAATTTCCAATTTTCAATTTCAGTTAAATCGGTTCAGTAGTTTAAACGAGAAGAAAAGACAGATAGACAGACAGAGTTACTTTTGAATTTATAATATTAGTTTGGATACTTGGTAGTTCTAGAAAAAAAAATGAGGGGAATTTTTGTAAAAAGAAATAATCTTACTTAGCTAAACTTACACATCATTATGAAATATCAGTATAGCGATGTATTGTTAAATTAATAAAAAAATGTTGGAAGCCATTTTTCGGCACGCATGTGCCGGCTCGACCGGAATGATAACGTTGTGGTTGTGATACAGAAATCGATCGAAAAAGACTGGCGAGAAACAGCGGATTTTTGTGAGGGGAAAAATTATCGAATGACTTGTCATGCCTAGGGTGAGGCGAGTCAGTTTAGACACCATTATACATATTATTTTCGAAGCCTTCGGTAACCTCACACGAAACAACGCTATGATTGTTTCACGCCGGTTTTCTGTGAGGCAAAATAATTTCGATCGAGCCAACCCATTCGTGCCGAAGCACGGTTTTCCCATACTTAACCCCATTTTGGCCACGGAAATCTAAAAAACAATCATACTAAGTATCTACATATAATATACAAGTATATCCATATTATTAATTTAACATGCATAGATTTTCTCATATCACCAGGCCACAACAGGTATTTTTCCTTTTGATGAATAATCGCAGCATATGCTGAGATAGTAGCCTTTTTGACCTCGCACAGTTTCTTTATTTTATCTTTTAATCTTTTTTGTTGTTGTTTCGTTTACAATACCGCCGACGTATCTTGGCGAGTCTGAAGTTAGCCGATTAGCTGCACAGTACACAATTTTGTTCCTAAAAGATCCATTGCGCAGACAAACGGCTAACTTCCGACTCGCCAAGATACGGCGGCCGTACTGTATTTTTTTCTTTTTGTATGTTTAAAATGTAATTGTACTTGTATATATTTTCTATCCGGTGTTCTTTCTTTCTTTCTTTCTCTTCCTATATCCAGGATTTTTTGCAAGGAAAAATCAACAAATCACTTCTCCCGCTTCGTTTCATCAGATGGGCTGAGGATAGAATTAACATTTAACTTTCATTCGGAAAGAAATTCATGTTAAATTAATGTAATACGTGCCTATCACACTGCTAGTTACATCAAAAATAAAGTCTCATGCTAACAGTAACGTTTGCTAGAAGAAAAACTACCTATAATCCTAATTGTTAGCCAAAAATTTTACATTTAGCATGCTTAGAGTACCTATATTATTCTGTTATTTTTGGTCACTATATGTTTCCTTTTTTTTTTTAATGCGAGAAAGTGCTAGTTATGGAACTAGCATTTTCTTCTGTGTCGTGGACACATTGCATTACATTCATATATTTGTGTATATGAATTTTTATGTTGGTACTTTTTTGTGTAAGGGGAAAATCATCAAATGACTTCTCCCGCCCAGGGTGGGGCGGGAGTGAGTGTCAGACTTTTACTGTGAGTGTCTGACTAACAACCCCCCCGTTCCCTCTCCTCTAGGCCGAGCCTGCAATCCCTCATTGCGTTTGCCCCGCAACCCTGGCTGATATGTTGGTACTTGTGTATGTTGGTTATAACCACCCAAACCCGAAACTAAAATTTGTGGATCACGAAAAGTGCTGTTCCGTGCGAGAATCGAATCACAGCCGACAATTGCCTGCTTAATTAATAAGTTCATGTATGTAGAAGGAAACGTAATAAAATAGATTAAGGCATAGTAAAGAACAATCTAGAAAAACAACGGCATTGAGCAGTTACCGGGTTGCGTCATTCGTAAAAATAAATGTGATTAGAACATTAATTTGTTCATGATAATACGAACACTCCTAAAAGTGTATGTTATCACTAAAATCTTGTCACAGATTAGTCACATATTTGCACGTATTTTACCTAATCGATCTTTATTTATAAGTTAAGTTATCTTTATTTTTTTAACTAAGTAGGTAGATTCGCGTCAAATTGAAATTAATGCTTTCAGTTTATGTAAACCAGTTGATCTGTCAAGGAATAAATAACACTACTAGAATAGACCACTTTTCCGCTAAACGGGTTTTCAGACATTTTAAATGCACTGCACTGAAATGTTTTTCTTTTTGGGGTGGGAGGGTTTATCATGACGACTTCTCTCGGAGGGTTTCGGCTCTTACTGACTAAAAACCACCTTCTCCAGCCCCAGGCCGCGCGGTAGGTACATGACTGATCTTACTCCGCAACGACCGGTGTGAACAATATTTTAAAATTTTTGGTTTACAAGGAATGTAGGTAGCAAGGTCGAAAAAAACTTTTTTAAATGTAAGTACGTTAACTTCGTTACGTTCTTTAACTTTAAATGTATGTGTTATTAAAATTTCAATAAATAGACACATTTTCATCATGTTCTCTGGGTGGTCCTCACAATGATGACACTCTGGCGTTTCCTCGCCTCGAAACAGGAACCTACTGAAGCTGTGGTGCCCGGTAAGCACCTGCGTCAGGCGGAAGGTGAGGCCGCCGTGGCGCCTCTCAAGCCACTATTTAAAGAGGGCTATTATTACCGCTGCTATAACAGCGTTCTTGATAAATAAATATTTTTTGGAAGGATGAGAGAACAGGATGTCCCTTATACTCCATTGAAAAGAAAGGATCCTCCGATCAGACGGATGTTGTGTCCAGTGAGCTATTGCCCAATATACATATGTAGTACCGTAATCTAATCTACATTCAATTTGGTAAGTTTCATGATGACACGATGGAAATATTATTACATAACTATATGTAAAAATAAAAACAATAAAAAATTAGGTATATCATTTAGATAGTACCGTAACTTATTTGATATGATAATATCGGCATGAGATTGGTTCGCGAGGCTCCCACTACATCGCAGTAACCACGGACCTCCCAAATATATTTCTGTACATTCTTATCTATACGAGTATATACTAATATTATAAAGACGTAAAATTTGTAAGTTTGTATGTAGGGGGTAATCTTTGGAACTGGCCTGTTCGGATTGCCAAAATTCTTTCACTGATAGATAGCTACAATATTCCTGAGTACTGTAGGCTATAAAACATCACGCTATGATTAAATGGAGCCGAGCAGCGGGTGAAACCGCGCGAGATTAGCTAGTATTATATGTATGGCTGTAACACGTTAACATAAAATGTTACAACTGACATAATACGAATGGGTCGGCTAGACCAGAGTGATACCACGGTTTCAAAAAAAACTGACGTGAAACAACCACTGCGTTGTAATTCACTCAGCCGGGGTTGCAGGGCAAGCACAGTAAGGAACCGCAGCCCCAAATGGAGCAGGAAAAGAAATGGGGTGGATTTTAGTTCATAAGAGTCTGACACTAGGTAAGTCTCGCCTCACCCTGGACGAGACTGAGCGTACGGCGCGTAGCGTTCCACGCGCGCTTCAAAGAGCCAATACCAGACGGGAGACCATCACAGACGGGGCCCTATAGGGCTGATGTTCAGCCGGGGTTGCGGGGTAAGCGCAATGACGCACCGCGACCTCGGCCCAGAGCAGGAGAAGGAACGGGGGGTTTTTAGTCAGCAAGAGTCTGACACTCCATCCCGCCTGGCCTTGGGCGGGAGAAGTCATTTGATGATTTTCCCCTAAAAACCCTGGACGAGAGAAGCCATTTGACCATTTTCGCCCAAGACCCAATCCTTCCCCTCACCCTGCCCATTCCCAATCTTTAAATATACGAAACCCTTATCCCCAAAGACCGGCAACGCACTCATAACTCCAAATGAGTTATGGTTGCCACCAATTGCTTACCATCAGCCAAACCGAATACCCGTTTGTGTCATAAAAACTGCAATTTGATCGACATCTATCTCCACCTACATAGGGTACTGAGTAGATTTCTCCTAAATTTAAATCTAGAGACATGCATCCATAAACGGCGGACTTTTTCCAATTTCATAATATTTTTGTTTTGTCAACAGTTCATTGGCACGTGGTACGATGTTGGTAGATACTACCAGCCAACACAACTTGGTCAGTGTAATCGTGCTTTGTACGGAACACCGAACGCAATTAATGGTCAAATAGCGGTGCAGAATTGGCAAGTTGTAAATGGTGAATGGGTCTCAGTATCAGGATCTGCCACAGCAAACGCCGAAGGAGTACTATCAGTTACTTTAAATACCGCTTCCGGTAAGTTCATTTCACATTACACAGTTCTCAATTAATTATTATGTTTTCGGCTCACACGCGTAATAATTTGACGAGATACTCGACTAGTTTCAAGCCCTGCTAGAGGCCCATATTCGTGTGCAGCATTCCGCGACAGTCGCCGAATAAATATTCCTTCCTCTATATTTATTGTAGTTTCCATTAATTATTGAGGTGTGTATAGGTATTGCTTAAACCTTTTTTTATTACAGGAGTGCAAACAGCCGAACTTCGAATTTTGACTTTAACTAATGAGTACGCCGTCTTGTTCAGTTGCCGCAATGAGGGAACTGGAAGCATATGTAAGTTAACTTAAATAATTATTCTTTTTCTTCTATACTAATATTATAAAGAGGTAAAATTTGTAAGTTTGTATGTAGGGGGTAATCATTGGAACCGCTGGTCGGATTTCCAAAATTCTTTCACTGATAGATAGGTACAATATTTCTGAGTGCTATAGGCTATAAGACATCACGCTACGATTAAATGGAGACGAGCAGAGAAATGAAACCGCGCGAGAGTAGCTAGTCTCTTATAAATAGAAATGAATTGTTGTTCGTTAGTATCACTCAGTCTCGAGAACGACTGGTCCGATTTTTCTAATTAAAGTCCATGGAAAGTTTTAAAGTTTAGAAAGTATTAGTTAACTATGAGACGGAACGAAATTCACCGATTAACTAGTTAGTCAATAAAAAAAATTCGAGACACAATATAAGGACAAAGGTGCACGATCGCGTTCGCTTGGGATTTCACGAATTAAATAAGTACATTACGTCGTGGTGGCCCTTACTGTTCTTACGGTGGACTTGTTCTGAGTTATATGTACTATCTATGATTACTCAGACACCGTGAAGGCAAACATCGTGAGAAAACCTGGACTTGTAATTTTTACTTATAAGTTTGAACACGCCAATCTGCCAAGAGCAAGCGTGGTGACTAATGTTTTTTATTTGTCAAAATAAAAATATAATTATAATAATAACATCAACTAGAGCAACAACTTACCAATAAAAACAATTGCATACTTAATTTTTTTTTTATTTTATCTTTACGTGTACTTAAATAATATTTTTTTAAATTATATTAACTACATACCTTAATTAAATTATTTTATTTTATGTCTTACTTTCTTTTTTCTTATACATATACCTACATATAATAATAATGTATTTATTTTTAAAATTTTCAGTGGGAAGTTGGAAAATGAGCAGAACACCAACTTTAACTACGGCTCAAGAAACTGCTATAAATAGTTTCATTAACCAAGTTAGCATTCTCAACCTCAACAGTTATACTCCTACATCACAAACTTGTACAGTTCAAGCACGGCCCTACATTGAGCTTACAGGAGCTTGCGACGCAAACTTCAAAGGTGTTTCAGGTTTCCAACTTCTTAATGTAAGTTTCTTATTTTTTTACCTACATTTGAATTATTATTATTTATTTATTTTCGTTGTCGATCGATGTCGTTGGCCTATGTCCTATTCCGCCGGTGCCCAATTTAATCCAGATCAGTCCAGCTGTTTTGGCGTGATTGAGTACCAAACATCCAAATATCGTAACTTTCGCATTTATAATATTAACTAGATTCAAACATTTATAGCTTGGAGTTTAGGGTACCCGCATACCATGCAATAGAGTGGGTCGGGTTCAAAACCTGGCAAGTATCGATGTGACTTGTTTCGAGTTATTTAGACACCTCTGACATACGGTGAAGGGAGATATTGTAAGGAAACCCATGTAATTTCTAATTATAAGTTTGAAATCGCCAAACCGTCTTGAGCAAGCGTGGTTAATAATGATCAAATATCCGTATGAGAAGCGCTCTGCTCAGCATTAGGCACTCATAGGCTGATGATTTGATGTATTTCTCTATTGCTTGTTTCTATTTGAATTAATATTTGAATTTTTAAATTAATTATTTCTGTCGCCAGTATGTTGGACAGTGGCAAGAATTGCGAAGATATCCGCAGCCAACACAAACTGGTCAATGTAACCGGGCCTTATACGAGGCAAGTGAACCTGGTGTAGTCTCAGTAACAAACAGTCAAGTTCTTAACGGCGAACTGTTAACTATATCAGGACGAGCTGTTCCTGGCAGCACTGACGGAACTGGACATTTAATAGTTAATTTCGGTGGTAAGTAATTACTATTTCCAAATACCCTTTAATACTACCTTTAGAGAGCCATGCTTTGGCACGAATGGGTCGGCTCGATCGGAGTGATACCACGACCTCACAGAAAACCGGCGTGACGCAACACTTACGTTGCGTTTCGTCGTATAAGTGAAGTTACTGGAGGCCCAATCCTTCCCTTTCCGTCCTCAATCCTCGAACCCCCTATCCCTAAATCTCTAATAACCCAAAGATCAGTAAATTCTGTATTATGAGTATCCATATGCGGCGATTATTGTTTACCGCCAGATAACCCGTTAGCTCGTTTTCCAAACTATCATATGAAAAGAATCCTTTACATAGTTTTATCTACTCTAAAATGTTCGCTTTTCTCCGCCAATGCACTCAGGCCGAAGTTATACGTCGCAAGTTTCACGCTTGTTGACAGACAATAGGGTAGTTTCCAACTATATTGTCAGTTAATGAAATAGCACGTTGTGAAGTCATAATTTTTTTGACGTTAAAAAGCATACCGTGTTAATTATCGAACAAAATACGATTTTTAATTTACAAACAAATCGTAAAGTATATTAATTTATATACGTGTGATTAATTAAGTATATTATTATTAATTAAACAGCCTACCTATTCTTGTGGTTTTATAAATTGAAAAATAATTTATTTTCGACTGAGGAAATTACCCAATTTGTCTAAACAATACGTAACATCTTTGCTGATCTATTAGACCGGATATTTAAGTGGTCTTGGTGTGAAAAATAACTACAATAATTGTCAATAACACATCGTTGTAGCTATTGAAAAGACGCAATAATTTATCAATGTTTAAACTATTTGGTAGTTGTTTTAAATCACATCTTAAACTCAATCAAATGTATGCAATCTTTTCCTTAATTTGTACACGAATGTTGTTTAAGTAACATGCTAAAAATGTGTTTCAGGGGATAGAAATTCGAACTATTACGTCGTGGCGACCGACTACCAAAATTTCGCTCTTGTATACAGCTGTACTAATGAAGCAAACGACAACAGGCGAGGTAATACCAAAGACAATTTAATATTTTTGCTTAAAAAATATTTCTTGTTACGACGATACAAGTACTGACGTAGGCTTTATTTTTAGTCGGTAGTTGGGTGCTTAGCAGATCAGGGACTCTCAGCGCGACCGCGCAGGCTACGATCAATCAAGCGATAATTGACACCCCAGATCTATTTGATGGCTACTACCAAACTACAAGTCAGGACGCAGACGCTTGTTTCTCCTATCCAACGTTTGATAGCAAATGGGAATACATCGAGCTGCCTGGAGATTGCGATACAAGAATCAAAGGTGTTGATGACTTCGATGTAACTAGAGTAAGTACCACGTTTTAGTTTCAATATTAGGTAAACTAAGAACATACTAGTGATAGAATACTTAAAGATTGCATTATTAATAATCATTTATTAACTCCAAAAATAACATTTTTAAATATTCATCATTTATTTATTCATATCATCACATGTCAGGCTTGATGGCTACAATAGTCCTGCCAGTGATATAGTGATACTAGTACAATGGGATATGGTCATTTTCTAGAACAGGGAATCCCTAGTGCATTGCTTCCACTTTTAGGAAATACTCTCTGAGATAGCACACCTCTTGGTTGTAAAGAGTCTTTATATTTAAAAAGCCTCGACCTCGATCAACGAACTAAGGTGATGCATTCCGTTTACAGTCAGCAGTGTTTGGACTTTCCTATCTAGGGTGTCTGGTTCAGGCTGAGTCCATGAGTATGCCAAAAGAATACATCAGCCAGCATGCCCCAAACATTCAAGGCTCGTACCTTATTTTGGTTTGCTTCAGGCGCGGTCCATGAATACTTAATCTTTCTGAGATATCCAGATATTTGTTACGATGTACTTATATTTATACATGATCTCTCTGATATCAGACAGTGCTAGATTTTCAGATTTCACATACAAATTTTCTCAGTTATACATGCATGACCCCCAAACACCAATCTAATTGAATTTTTAGCTATTTTTAGTAGTTCCATTGTCGTTCCTTGTTTGGTGCAAACAGCTTAAGGCCATCTATATAAAGCAAGTGGAAAATAACGTGACTTCTTTTCCGCAAACAATATCCCAGAACTGAAGCCACAAGTAAAGTACTGAGAGTATTTAAAGTCAAACCGAAACACAATATGCGCTCACACTGTCACCCTGGAATATTCCTCGCACTATCCTTACAGGTTCTTCAAACCTTTACAATTACCTACATCCTGGTTATGAAAGTACCGTACTCCACAGTCTCATGCATAACTGTAACATATTTTATTAATTTTATAGAAATCTAGCACCCTCACAAGCCACATATTAATATGCGGCACACGGAGCAAGTAGACAAATCCTTTCAGGATCGACAAACCTACTGGCTAATGACCATATCAATGAGTAGCTCCTTAGTTCCACCAGAACCATTTCTACATCTTTTTTAAAAGACAGACATGGTGATTTTTATAATGTTTTGTCATCACAAAATGGATTTAAAAGTTTATAAACCGTCAATGCACTATAATTAAAATTGTATCATAGTTTTGCAATAAATATTAATTTATGTTAAGAATAAAATAATTTAAAGAAACTTCCATATTTTTAATATTACATTCTATCACAGTACTTGGGTGACTGGAAAGAATTACAAAGATACCCACAGCCAACACAAACTGGACAATGCAACCTTGCTAGATATGGCCCAGTCAATAATGGAGTCGTAACCGTAGTGAACCAACAAGTTGTGAACGAAAGACTGGCAACGATAACAGGGCAGGCTGTTATTGCCAGCAACGATAGAACTGGACATTTGAAAGTTACTTTCAATGTTAATGGCGGTAAGTAACTAAATTATTAGCAAAACTTCATCATCATCAGCCAATAAGTTTGCACATAAAACCTCTAAAGTCGAAAGTCGAATGGATTATTTTAAAATCGGTCAATTCAATTTTAAAACAGATCTTATTTGTACAGGACTTTATTATTAAAGCTTACTTGGCTTGACTATACTTAATAATGTAACAAACAACCTTCATGTGAAACTGATCGAAAAAGAGTATGTACCATGGAGTTCTGTATCGATTCGACTTTGGAACGAGCAACGAGCATATAGCTGCACTAAGAGGACTGACCGACAGACTGACAATTCATAATCTTTAATCTATGTTGCATCTAATTAAAATACAGAAACACATTTTAAACAGAAAATATTACGATCTACCTAAATAACAAAAAAATATATATTTTAGAGGTCAGAGAATCAGACTACTACGTCCTGGCGACAGACTACAATGAGTATGCCCTTGTATACAGCTGCGCACCTGCAGGAAACGGAAACAGACGAGGTAATTATGAGGACAATTTCTTTTTTGCAATGCCAATACTACATAAATACTTTTTCCAAAGGAAAGTCGCATAATAACGCTAACCTCATTTCAGTCAGCAGTTGGGTGCTTAGCAAAACAGGAACACTGAGCGATAAGTCTATTAATGAGATTGATGAAACCATACTGAAAACCCAAGGTCTCCATAAAGGTTACTACGTAAAAACTGGCCAAACGCAACAAGATTGTTTCTACTATCCTGAATTTGATAGCTCATGGTCATACGTTGAGCTATCTGGAGAATGTGATGCCGGAATCAGAGGTGTTTCTGGATTCCAAGCAGCTAGAGTAAGTACCTTTTTTTTACTTACAATTTTAGATAATGTAAAAACATATTTATAACATTTGACTGCACGGTTAGCCGCGCCAACTTGTTGCGCGTTGGCTGGGCAACTGGCTGCCGTGCAACGTGTCGCGGGTTCGATTCCCGCACGGAACAACTCTTTGTGTGATCCACAATTGTTGTTCCGGGTCTGGGTGTAATGTGTCCTAGTGTGGGGCTACGTTTAAATAAAAAAAAATATATATATACGTACCTACGCAAGCCAGAGGCTCAATCCTTCGCTTACTTCCATCTCCACCCAATTCTAAAACACCCGAAACTGTAAAAGGCACGCAACGCACTCGTAACTCCTTTGGTGTTGCGAGTGTCCATTGGCGGCACCGATTGCTTACCATCGGGTAAGCAGTTTGTTTGTTTGCCGACCTATTTCATGAAAAAAATCATTATGGCTCGTTCACGCACGTTCACAGGCAATTAGGTACAAAGCAAGCAGTTTTAACCTAACCATTTTTGTGAGGGGTAAATCATGAAATGACTTCTCCCGCCCAGGGTGGGGCGGGATTTTGTTGTATGACTCTTACTGACTAAAAATGCCCCCGTTCCTTCTCCTGCTCTAGGCCGAGGCCGCGGTGACTTATTGCGCTGGCCCCGCAACCCCGGCCGAGCATCAGCCCTATAAGCCGTCGTCCGTGCCTATCCCATAACCTGCCTTTCCTGTTAGCAACTCGGTTTAATGACAATCCGAATGGGAAATGCATCATAATCACATTTAATATAACGCACATTTTGGAAAACAAATACAAAGTATAATGTGCGTGGACATTTAATTATCTTGGTTGTACCTAATATTTTTATCTTATTGTCGTGGTCGCCTTGTGGTTAAGGTGCCTCTCCTCATACGTGAGGGACCAGATTCGAAACTATATGTATGTACTTTCTATGATTAATTAAATACCACTGACGTACAGTGAAAGAAAAATACGTAAGGAAACACGCACTCACAACTTCAAATTATAAGTTTAAATTCCCGCCTTGAGCAAGCGTAGTGATTGATGCCTGAGCTGAGCTGATAGGCTGATGATGATGATATACTTATATAATTTTTTTCTATCTTCAGTATTTAGGCAAATGGTATGAACTCGCAAGATACCCGCAGCCAAACCAATCTGGCCAGTGTAACAGCGCTGAGTATGGATCGCTTCCTAATAACGCCGTTTCTGTGCTGAACAGTCAAGTTATCAACGAAGAACTGTCTACGATAACAGGACAGGCTGTTCTTGCCAGCACCGATGGAACTGGACAATTGTCAGTTACTTTCAATGATCGTAAGTAATTTTTATTATTTCAACAACTACCTTCCGCACTACGCGTATTATCGTATGTTGATAAAAAGCCCATATGTTAACCCCGGGTATCATCTATCTACCTCAGAATACAGAACAAACCAGAATCCGCGTTCACTCATTATTTCATGTTGTCATCATATTTTTTGGAAAAACCCAAAAAAAATATAGGAAAACTTACGATAATTGCAACAGACTAGTTGTTTACACATTTCATGCAGGTATCATAAAAGTTGACGAGAAATCGTCGCTGTGTTAATTTTAGTTACACCGACTATACACAACGTGTATAGTAAATGTGTTTTTTATCCATTTTAATTTTAGTAAATGTGTTTTTTATCCATTTTAAAACTAATATGACAAAGGTTCCACAATGAACAACAATATAACTCACAATAAATAAATAAGTTGGTAAAATTTACACCAAAAATGACAACAATCACAAAATGGCCGCATCATTGTCATAGAAAAATAAATCGTTAAAAGAAAATCAATAATTAATTAAATATACTATTCAGCAGTCGATGCTTGCAGATGAAATGTAATCTTATCCACTTTTTTCGTAATTCCAGCTCTATTTTTACTCGTAGGAATGACACAAGACTGCATAATAAAATTAAAATTTATACTCGTCACGACATGCCGCGTGCCAAAATTGACTGATCGTAGAAATTTCATACTACTCTAGCTAAGAGTGGTTTTAGTGGCTTTAATATGAAGCGCGTTGCCGCCTTCTGGTTTGTTCTGTATTTCTGTATTCTGAGCTATCTACATACTAAATTTCAACCAAATCGGCACAGTAGTTTTTGCGTGAAAGAAAAACAATCGTAGCTACTGTTAATCAATCGACCTCACAAATTTCCACATTATAATAATGAGTGTAGGAAATAGTTATGTACTTGATTGCGTTTTTTTTTCAGTTTAAAGTGATTCATAAACTTTTAATAAAGATAAATATTCAGAACCAGTTCGTTTAAATACTCTGTTATAAATAAATACAATAATAATAAAAATGTATCGCTGAGATTATGTAGGTAGGTATAATTGCGTGGTATCCACAGTTAAAAATAATGATACAACAGATTTTTATTCTACGTCAATAAAAAAAATTGCGCAATTAAATTATTTTATTTAGCGATTAACATTTTAAAATTTTATATTGCAATTTTTAAATAAATATTTGTGCGCGTGTGTGTGTCATTTAACTTACTGACGTAAAATAACCCCAACACAAACACTTCGATAGTTTACTGGGGACTTTTTTATATCTGAAAAGCAGTGTCTAAGATAAAATAAAAACATGCTTCTTAATTTTTCATTATTTAAGCTACGATATTTTATAAAACAATGACTTTAGCACTTCAATGAAAAATTAAAAAAATATGTACTTAGTAGTTGGATGTCAATTTATCATAGTATAAATAGGTACTTAAACAAAAATATACTGATGGTTGACTAAATAATAGGTCTTTACCTATGAAATTGCCGTTTTGCATGAAAAAATTTAAACGAATTTTTTGATTTGAAATGTGATGAAAATGTAACACTAATCAATAAACAAATCAATAAAAAAACTTTTGAAAAAAGAATCCCATGTTTTTAAAACAAAATTCATTAGCCTTAGCCTAACAAAAACTATTTTGATTTGAAATGGCCAGTACTGCAGAACGGCAATTTCATAGGTAAAGACCTATTTATTATACATAATTTTGTACCAGAAAATACCTACATTTTTTATTTACCTAACATATTTTTTATTATTATTATTACAGCTGCCAATCCATCAAACTATTACATACTTGCGACCGACTACAACGAATTTGCTCTTGTATACAGCTGCCGTAACGTGGAAGGCGGGAAAAGACGAGGTAATATTAAACAAAGTTTTTCTAAGCCACGATCTTTTAGGTGTTTTTTCCAACAAAAAATCACCTACTAACGCTTACATTTACTTACTTTATTTTAGTTGGCAGCTGGATTCTCAGCAAAACGGGATCAGTGAGCGCAGCTTCCCAAGCTATCATTGATAAAACCATTAGCGACACCCCAGGTCTAACTAAAGAATACTACCAGCCCACAAGTCAAACTTATGCATCATGCTTCTATTATCCTGACTTTACTGAACCACAACAGTACATTGAACTGCCTGGTCCTTGTGACACAAGCATCAAAGGTGTCGCCAACTTTAACGCAGCTGATGTAAGTGGCATATTTTTTTACTTTTTTTTATGTGATAGGATTTAAACAAGCGCTTGCATTACTTGATGGCTAGCTATCTGCGCCGCCCATAGACACCCGCAACAAAGGAGTTATGAATGCTTTACCTAACAGTCAGGCAGCACTCCTCAATCATCAAGAAAAACTTTGAAACAATTTAATAAGACGGGTTTTAATATTCAGTTCGACCACTCGTCTTTTTAAACTAATCTATATACAATTATATGCGATCTATATACAATTATATAAAATGTTTATTATTTTACTAGTATCAAGGCACGTGGATTGAAAACGCCAGATACCCACAACCGACGCAAGCTGGCCAATGCAACCGTGCTAAATACACACCAATCGCTGGAGGCGCTGTCTCTGTGACAAACAACCAAATCGTAAATACAACAATAAGCACGATAGACGGAATAGCTATTGCGGCAAGTGATGATGGAACTGGCCAATTGGAAGTTTCTTTCGTAGCCAATAATGGTAAGTAACTTTAAAATCTGATAAGCCAACATGAACTTAATTTTTTTTACGCTAGTGATTCTACGATGGATCAAAGTCTTGGTCGCGTAAACTTTATTATTTTTGAGATGTTTCGAAGGTGAACGAAGACGTCCAAAACTCAATATAGTTCTCAAAAGTCCGGTACTACGTAGGTATATGCAACATACTGCTCATTTCATTAGAATAATGATGACTTATCCAAAACTAAGACTTTATTACATTGATTGCTATTGGTACCGAGTTACAATAATATACCTATAAGCCAAAACTAGAAATGATAGATCTAAAAAACAAATAAAACGTACGTAGCTTATACATTATACTTATGTATATCTCGTAAAGTAATATATACAACGCAAATTAAATATTACAGCACTTGTATGTGGTTTACAAACAATTTTACTCCACGCCAATAATTAAAAAAAAATTAGTGATTTATATAGCCCAATTACTCAAATTACGCGATGTAGCCTATTTTTTGTTTGTCGTCTATAGCCGGCAGTGGCAATCAAAAGGATAATAATAACACTCCTATTTAAAAGGCAAATCTGGCACTCAAATAAGAGGCATACCAATCAGCAATTTCTTGATTTAGTATGGGAATGTTTGTGGAGCTTTCTTTTAGAGGCAATTCAATATAACTGAAATAACTATATAATTACTTATTAATTACAAAACTCAATTTGTACCTACTAGGTATATGCAATGCAATTAAATTGTTGTAAATAAAAAATAGTAATCATTATAATCAATCGGCAATTTTTATTCCAATGAATTGAATATGACTACTTAACACATAGGTAATTAATTATACTTATTCACAGAACTCAGGCGAGCCAACTACTACGTCCTGGCGACTGACTACAAACAGTATTCACTTGTATACAGCTGTTACAACGTAGATAACGGAAACAAACGACGAGGTAGGCAAAATTTGTATCTTAGGTATTAATCTTTAAGAGTGGGAGAGCCATACTTCGGCACGAATGAGCTGGCTCGGCCGGAGTGATCCCACGGCCACACAGAAAACCGGCGTTAAGCAACACCTGCGTTGTGTTTCGTATGAGTTATGTTATTAAAAACCCAATCTCTAATAAACAAGGGGCCGAAAATGCATTTGTAGCAACTCTTTTGGTATTAAGAGCGTTCAGGTAACCCGTCGGCTCGTTAGCCAACCTTCCAGACAAAAAAATACTAAGATGAACCAAATCAATATTAAGATTCTCATTCCAATAAATTACACTTTCAGTTAGCAGCTGGAAATTAAGTAGGTCGGGAGTACTGACCGACGAAGACAAGGCTGCAATTGATGCCGTCGTAGAAAAGACTCAAGGACTTAAAAACACTTACTACGTGGAAACTGATCAAAGTTCTGAAACATGCTTCTTTTATCCCACAATTGCTCCAAACAGTGAGGTCATAATACCCGGCCAGTGTGACGAATCTATCACTGGAGTAGCACAGTTCAATTTGGATGACGTAAGAATGCATTATATTAAGTACTTTCTACACCCTAGGTACCGAAATGTTTATACCTTTACTCCATAATGAGCAATAATGAATGGGCCATACGAACCAGCTGTTTCCGATATTAGTGTTGTGTTTAGTGTATTGTGTATTTACAAACACTAACGTAAATTACAGCCAAAAATGGAATAAAAAATTTGATAACACACGAAAAATAAATTGTTACGTAAGGACCAAACGCAAACAACACTATAATTGACTAAATACTGTAAATTTTCTTGGAGTTCCTTAATTACTTAATAGATGGCGACACTGTAGCTTAAAGTTCAGTCCTCCAAATAAAGACCTTAATTACCTTATGTGTTCCACCAGCGTGTTTTAATTTAATAAACTTTACTGACTTATCATTTTAATATTTGTTTCTTACAGTTCAAAGGAAACTGGTATCAGATCCGAAGATACGACCCCGTTTCAGGCACTTGTGCTGGCGTGAGATTTACTCCTGAAACTGACAGCATCGATGTTGTTGCATACGAAGTGTTCAATGGAGAATTGTTTATTGCTGAAGGAACAGCCAGAATCAACTCAACTGATAACACGGGACGAATTACTATAACTATGCCAGTTGAGGGCTCTTCAGGTAAGGGACAAGTTTAATCAGTTTAGTAGAGAACAGTATATTATGTTTGGAAACAATTAACATTCAACTACAAAATGTTTAGAAAATATATCATAATATTATGCAATTTCATTATCAGAACCGATAAACAGTGGAATTATTTGCCGAAGTCTGTGTCACCCGAACGGTACTTATAGCATGGGCGTCCTGAAAGCCTGATTGAATAGGTTGCTCATGGGTAGGCATGCTCAATCGTAGGTCGCATTAACGCTTAACACCCGGCCAAATAGCGGCCAAACGACTGCCTAAAAAGGTTTTATTTATAAATAAATATGCATGTTATTAAAATTGTGTACTTATTTTGATTTCAGAACCTGTCGAAACCGTTGTCTATATAATGTCTACAGACTACAACAATTATGCTGTTGCATACAGTTGCGCCAACGTAGGCAACATCCAACGACGAGGTACGTATTTCTGCCTCGATCTTCTTTACGTAACACTCTAAATATTAAATACAAGGAAGCCGAAGTTTACAATTTATTTCTAACTAGCTTCTGCCTGCGGTAGCGCCCGCGGGCGAGGGCTAGGTATAGGTATGATGTTAAAAAGTAGTCCTATTCCGGAGTGTATCCTATGCCTGTGCCAAATTTCATACTGATCCGTCGTGCCGTTTTGGCGTGATTGCGTAATAAACATCCAAACATCGTTACTTTCGCATTTATAATATTAGTACGTACCTAAGATAAACAATGAGGCACTATTCTATTTTAATCTTTTGTAAAAATGAGGCCTGTTGCTTTTGTTAGTTTGATATCTAGTAAATTAACTTATATTTTCTTCCAGTTCGTGTTTGGCATCTGAGTCGTGAAAGAACTATGTCTGAAGTTGGAAATACAGCCATCGCGGCTCTGGTAGCACAAAGGCAAGAGTTCCATCTGCCATACTTCAAGGATATTGCGCACAGCGAATGTCCAGAACCCAGTTCAGCATTCCTATTCAAAAGCAGTATTGTTGTACTCCTTGTATGTGCCGTATTACAATTAGTATTGTAAATACTAAATAATAATATATTTTAAATATTTAAATGTATTATACGTCTATGTATTATTATAATTAATATAAAATATATTTTTTTACATTCCATTAAATGTTCAATTTCCTTTAAGAATTAAATATTGTTTTATTATTTATCCATGTATCATAACGTCCTTTTTTTATGTCTATCGGCAAACAAGCAGACGGGTTACCTGGTGGTATGCAAACAGCGCCGCCCATGGACATTTGTAGTATCAAAAGAGATCTGCTTAGAGGGCATACTTATGAGAGAACAGGATGGAAAGTACCTCATCCTCCAATGAAAAGGGAGGGCCCTCCAACCAGACGGATGTTGTGTCTGGTGGGCTACTATCCGGGATTTTTGTATCGGTGCTAATTGGGTTAAGAACTCTTATACCGCGATGTAGAATCTGTTACGCCATCTGTTGAATATTGTTCTCCATCTACGTGAGTCGTCACATTACTGCGATAGATGTCGCTACAACTACGAGTGCGTTGCTGGCCACTTGTGGGTTATTAGGGATTTAAGGATAGGGGATTTGAGGATGGGGGGAGAGTTGGACATCCGGTAACCTCGCTTACACGGCGAACCCACCTAAGCGTTGTTTCACGCCAGTTTTCTGGGAGGGCTAGCCCATTAGTGCCGAAGCATGGTTCTCTTACACATAGTCCTGATATTGACAAAACAAAAGGAGGAGGTTCAAAATTCGACGACTAAATATAAATATTTCTGTTTCTTCTCTTCTATAAGTATACATAAGTATAAAAATCAATGCCAGTTTTCGTTGTAATATTATAACTTAACAATGCCTATATCGATTTGGCTAATTTTCGTCCGTAAAGTCCAAAGACAATTTATACGTATAGAAATTTAAAAAAAAATCTTGAATAAGGATAAAATCGACATCGACGCTGGCAGAGTCGCGGGCGACCGAAAGTATTTGTATGTAAATTAAAGAAGTGCAGTGTTTTGCATGGGTTTTTACATGTGTGTAGGATTGTGACAAATAAAAAGTATTGGTAGTGTCCCCAAGTTGATTTCATATTCTAGTTAGAGGTACTGCTCTGACAGCAAATAATAAGTAGATACGGAAAAGTTTCTACGCATTTTTAAATAGAATTCAAAGCAGTTTTTAATTTAGTTTATTTATATTTAATCAAAATAAATATGAAATCACCGGGGGGTTGTTGTTTCGGGTCTAAGTAGGTGTGTGTGTGTTTGAAATTGTAGGTACCTGTGTTTGTAAACGCCCCCACGACACAGGAGAATATCTTAGTGAGGGGCAACTTTTTTTTACAATTAAGTACAAATACCTAATATTAAAAGCCAAAGAGATTTTATTACAAGTTCATTTCAGACGTTTTCCCTAAGTGTGTTTTTTTTTTATTTGTCAACAGATTATATAATAATTTGGTGTCAATCAATTTTAAAATAATAGTAAACTAGGTATAATAAATTATATCTAAAACCAGTATCTTTTAACAGTTGGCTGAGCACTCGCACTTGTTTTCCTGAACACCCGCACCAGAAGAATTATGAGTGCGTTGCTGGTATTTTAGGGATAAGGGGTTGCGGATATTTCGGGATTTGGCAACGATGTGGGGATGTGCAGAGTAAGGCTTGTGCCTCGGTAACAAAAACAAAAATGAAAAGTACTAAAGATTTAAGTTACTGAAATTTAACTTCTCATAGAATTTGTAGTTCTATTTTGATGATAAGTAAGTAGTGGTCTGTATCGAAAATGAGAAATTTTGCTCCGACCAACTCCGGAACAAAATTTTAATGATCTATGGACCTTATCCTCTTTTTTCCTTGGATGTGAAGTGTGCAATTGTAGCTTATTATATGACGGCTAACTGACTAAAACTTAGGCGTATTATTCCTAAATAAAACGCTTAATATTGTGGCGTGATGTTTTATATCCTTCATCGATAAATGGACTACCAAACACAAAAATAATAATTGAACAATTCGAAGCAGTGGTTCCGGAGATTAGCGCGTTCAAACAAACAAATTCTACAGCTTTATCTATAAATAATAAAATAATATTAGTATAGATTACTAGATACCTAATGTAGATTTCAATATAAGTACCTAAGTAATTATATTATAAAAGTATAATAAAACAATCAACGTTAGAACTTATTATGCGCTACAACGGTTGTAACCATAGACTAAACTTATTCGTCTAAATTGCATAGTTCTAGTTCCTATACTTATTATGCAAACACTGTTATCTGGTTTTGTTATATGCATTTTCATAAAACATAATATACTTATTTTGTCATAAACAATTTTATGCTATGGCACTGCAAACGAGCATACGGATTACCTGACGGTAAGCAATCGGCGCCGCTCAAGGACATTCGTAATACCAAAGGAATTACTAAGTCGAAGTCAACGTCAAAATCATTATTTTATTCCAACTAAACCATAAATAGTACTTTTGAAACGAACTACAAGTGCGTACCTAAGTGCGTTGCTGGTGTCTTGTGGGTTAATATGGATTAAGCCTCCGATATCCTCACTCACACGGCGAAACACGATTTAACACATAAAGAGCCAATAGACCACCGCAGACGGGCCCCTATAGGGCTGATGTTTAGCCGAGATTGCGGGGTAAGTGCAATGAGTCATCGCGGCTTCGACCCAGAGCAGGAAAAGGAACGAGGGCATTTTTAGTCAGTAAGAGACTGACTCTGCCTCCAACCCAACCTTGGGCAGGAGACGTAATTTGATGATTTTCCCCCATCGATCACTATTATAGAACTTCTTTAATAGTGATCGATGTTTTCCCCTCACCAACAATAAAGGGTCTCATCCCGTAAAAATTCCACCCAGTCTACTTGATTTTTACACTTTGTACATTAACGCAGATCATAACTTATTTACAATCTTGCCATCATATACGACCCACACTGTTTAATACTTATTTCAACATTCAATTTTGAACCATGCCTGTTCCCGGCCTTTTCGCCCAAATGATAAACTATGGAGGAATTCTTTTCTATGGTCTAAGAGCTGAACTCGCTGATTGGCCCGAACTTAGACCAAAGCTTCACAAATAGAACGTAGTGTTTATATACTTTTTGATCAAAAATAGCAACTTGGCAACCCTGGCAACACTGTTAAATATTATTTTCTTTTCTATGACAATAATGTATACTACGTATTGAAAGCCTTGCTTCCATGGTCACTAATAAAATAAAATAAAAAATATTATCTATGAATTCACATGACATATTCATTCAAATTCATTCATTCATCTATCTGTCAATTAATTTTTCATGAATTGCGGATAACATGTAAATGTATGTGAAAAAATCACATTTCTTATGCGTAAGACATTGTTTCTGTATTTACCATTTTAAGTAATTTAATACTGTAACCCTAAAATATGGCTAGTAATGAAGAAATTACCGGGCCCATTTCCCAGGAGGATGTAGAGGCAGCGGATAAATTGAAAAACGAAGCTAATGAATATTTTAAAAGTAAGTTTTATCAGTTTTTTACGACAATACATTATTATTATAAACCTCAACTTGCAGGATGTATTTAAAATGCTATTTATAACATATTGATCGTGCCAAGAATAGAACAAAATTGACTGACATAACCTCAAATTTCAGAACAAAGTTACAATAATGCAATCGAGTTGTATACTAAAGCAATAGAAAAGAACCCGAAGAATGCAGTTTTCTTCGCAAACAGAAGTATAGCCAACTTGAGACTGGAGAACTTTGGTTATGCGCTAAGCGACGCGTCGAAGGCAATAGAATTGGACAGGTCCTATACGAAGGCGTATTACAGGAGGGCTGCGGCTTACATGTCCCTAGGAAAGTACAAACTAGCGCTTAAGGATTTTGAATATGTAAGTATTTAGTTATTCACCAAAGAGGTTGGATACTTTGTGATTAAAAACAAGAGATTGTATCATAGAATAAGCAATCAAGCGCTGTTAACAACTGTACCGTTTCTAGTAACTACTCTTTAACCATATTGTAAAATTAATGAAATTAATACAAACATCAAATTGTTCAAAATATGTATCTAAATGCACATTAATTAGAAAGTGGATGCTAAAATAAATTAAATAACCATTTCATTAATTAACTACCTATTCAATTATATCATAATAAAATGAATGGTAACAGATGATATAAATTATATAAATATTGAAAGACATACATTTTCTACACATCACATGAACAGCCTCTAAATGTTCATGCAGGTAATTAAGGGCCTCTTCTCACATGGAGAAAGTTTGAACATTAATCACCACACTTCCTCAAGGCACATTGGTGATTTCCAGCTTATTATTAGCACCATGAGTCAGTGGTGTATAAACAAACTTAGGAAGTATATATAACTTGGAAAATGTCACATTAGTATTTGTCAAGTTTTAAACCCGCACACTCATGCATGAGCAGCTGGTGCTTAACCTCTGGGATACAACACATTTTTTTTTTAAATTTTTATTTATTTTAGGTAACCAAAGTCAGGCCAAATGACCAGGATGCTAAAATGAAGTACACTGAATGCAATAAAATAGTTAAGAAAATAGCTTTTGAGAAGGCTATCTCTTTTGATAAAAAGGAAGTTAATATAGCTGATTCCATCAACTTAGATGCTATGAGTAAGTATAAGTATTGAAAAATTATAACAACACACTAGATAATAATCCTACTTATATCATAAATGTGAATATTTGTTAATTTGTGTAGGTGTTTGTTTCTCCAAAACTACTGAATAGATCTGAATGAAATTAAGCATAGAGATAGATTAAAGTCTGCAATAATATATAGACATTTTTTTCTCTGGTACTGTAGTTCAAGATACTGGTACAAAATAGTTTAAAATGCAAACTATCTTTAGTTACTTGTTTGCCAAATAATATAGAAGTGGTTTCAAAATGTTTACTTTTAAAATATATTATTTAAAGGATGTTCTCAAATTGTTGAAACAAATAGAATGCTGGAAACGATTGTCAAGATTTAACACAGTGAAATTATAACAACAAATATCAGTAAATCCTAAAATATAAACAAGCTTGTGACGCACCCTATCACTTTAAAAAACTTTACGGACCTTTTATAGGTACCTAAGTGTAGTGTATCACTTACTCAGTCTATTATCAATTATAATCAATATCTGATAATTGTAAAATACATGCTAATGTTATTCTGATAACGAAACTTTTTCGTTCATTTATCTTAATTGATTATTTTTATGTTATATTATATTACCATGATATGTCAACAAAGGTATTAATTGAAATTGTTTTAAAATTTTTAACACAAGTAATACAAAATGATTTTCTGCAGAAAGTGTTTTAAGTGTGGTAATACTATAGATTTACTTAAGTTGAATAGTTATTGGAATATGGTTTCTGTCTTTTATGATTTTTTTTTTATATTTGTTTTCTACCGCAGCCATTGAAGATGAATATGTTGGTCCAGCGCTTGAAGATGGAAAAGTTACCCTTAAGTTTGTCACTGATCTGATGGAGTTTTACAAAAAACAGAATAAACTACACAAGAAATATGCATACAAGGTAAAACTTACCTATTTAAATAGAACAATTAATCAACTGTGTTCACACTTATAAAACTTCACGATAAATATGGCACATAGTTTTTTAAATTATATTCTTTTTTTGAATTCTGGTAAAAATAGTGACCAGTCATGTGAATCATTCCATAATCCTTATTATGGTTAATTTGTTGATGAAACATCTACTGAAAATAAACCCCTAATTTGCGACATGGGATCACACTGAACTGAAATTAGCTGCAATTTGTAATTGACTGTGATTTGTTTGTTTGTTGTGAATGAAGGACTCACTCGCTCTATCCAGAGAATAGTTGCTACTTCCCCCTAAACATATCATTGAGCTATGTTTTAAATAATGTTAAACTACTCTGCTTACTTACCTGTTACCTGGGGTGAATTCACGTGTCATATTATGATCCTGTGCCTTCTTCATCATCATCAGCCTAAAAGTGTCCTCTGCTAAGCAAAGGCCTTTTATCACACAGAGGAGATTTGGAGCAGTGATCAACACGCTTAGTTAAGGCGGATTGGCGATTTCCAACTTATAATTAAAATATAAAATCATAAGTCGAAGTTTCCTCACGATGTTTTTTCCTTCACCGTATTTCTGTGCCTTATTTAGAATTATAAACTACCTACAATAACAAAAATTTTTTTTTTTTGGCAGATATTGATTGATGTTAAAGCATATTTGCAAAAGCAGCCATCTCTCGTCGATATCAAAGTGGCAGATGATGCCAAATTTACAGTATGCGGAGACATTCACGGCCAGTACTATGACCTGATGAACATTTTCAAGTTGAATGGTCTACCGTCAGAGACCAACCCTTACCTGTTTAACGGTGACTTCGTAGACCGAGGTTCCTTCAGCGTGGAATGTATTTTCACACTATTCAGCTTTAAGTTGTTATACCCTGACCACTTCTTTATGTCCAGAGGTAAGATTAAACTTGTTATTTGCATGTTTTTGACTCATTCTCTACCAACTGATTATTAAATATCTTTGGCACTCAACTATGCTGCACTGCAAACAACTTTGACATGTTATACTGTCAACATTTTGCGAAATTCGCCATTGTCTATTATAGCCGACCAGAGAACATCACAAATAAGTTAGTACATTTTGTTCACGTCTATAGCCGACCGTGGCGGTAAAATTGTTAATAATTTATGTTGTAAACAGTTGGAGTTCTGTTGAAGAGCCAAATAAATAGAATCAAAATAAAAATAAAATCTTTTGAAAATGTTATATCAATATAAATTATAAATACTAAATAAAATATCCTACAATACGTACGTACGTAACATTCTTGTACATAAGTCAAAGCAATACTGTATTAATTCCTTTTATTTAAATCATATAAGATTACTGAAGTCAAATAATTATATGAAAACGTTACAGGTAACCATGAGACCTTAGATATGAACCGCATGTATGGGTTCCGAGGTGAGGTTTCCTCCAAGTACACCTCACAGATGGCTGATCTCTTCACTGAGGTTTACAACTGGCTGCCTTTAGCTCACTGTATCAATAGCCGAGTACTGGTGATGCATGGAGGTCTCTTCTCTAAAGATGACGTCACGCTCGACGATATAAGAAAGGTTGATAGGAATAAGCAGCCTCCGGAAGACGGTAAGTCTAAATTTAGACGTCCAGAATATAGCCGGGTTGTGGAAGAGACGGTGTGGTTTTAGTCAATGAGGATGACACTTTCTCTATCCCCAATACGGTAGTTTCCAACTAGTCAAATTCAATACTTTTATCCATTGTCAAAACGATACTTTTCTAAGTCATTTGTATGAAAATCCAGATTGATGTTATAGCATTTTTGCGTCAAAAGCTTACTTATTTCTTAAATATTTGCTAAATAATATGGAAATTTTAGTGTATCGAGAGATTTATGAATATAAAAGTATAGTTATTTTTCAACGTCGAATTAGTTTATTTTTCATCTACGAAACTACCAAATTGTGGGAGAAGTAATTCAATGTTATTTTTCCTTTCAAAAAAGGGGTCAATAATAATTTGCTCTCCCTAAATCATGTTAAATGGGCCAAGATATTAATGTCTGAATCGGCTGATGTTCAAGAGGAGACTGAGAGTGTTTTTGTATGCAGGTATAATGTGTGAGCTGTTGTGGTCGGACCCTCAGCCAATGCTAGGCCGCGCGCCGTCTAAGCGCGGCGTGGGCTGCCAATTCGGGCCTGATGTCACCAACACTTTCCTTCAACGTAACGGACTGGACTACGTCATACGCAGCCACGAAGTCAAGAACGACGGCTACGAAATAGCTCACGATGGAAAGTGTATTACTGTGTTTTCAGCGCCTAATTACTGGTATGTATAGATCACAAAATAATTAATACTTAATTGCTATACGGTCGCTTTTGGTATTGTGGACTTGTGTAGGAGAAAATGGTAAAGAAATAGTTTTAGTAATAATTAAATGTCTGCGAGTGTGGCAGTAAATGGTATTATTATATATTTGAATTCAATAAAGTGAAGTTCTTAGTTATTGATATTTTGACTTCTGAGCTATTGACTGAACAATATCAGCCATTCAGTGTTAGCAGATTGGGACAGTCTCATAGGATGAGCTTTGTTTCAAAGATGGTGGCTCTATCTAAGTGTTGTTTCCAAAACTTTGGGTTAAGGTTGTTGCTTAGCAACAGATGCAGTTGCAAAAGAAACGCATGTTATGACTTAATGCTATAATAATAAGTCATATTCTCTGTCCTTTATCCTACTATGCTTAAATATTTAAAACTACACGACTTTGATCTGGTTTTTCAAATGGATAGAGTTTTTAAAAAGGAAGTTTTATATGTATAATTACATCCATTAAATAGTGGAGAAATTTAGTATCGGCATTGCACCCGTTTAAATCCAGGGTGGGTAGCGACCTATTTATTATTTATTTAATACATTAGAAATATAAAGTTAAATTTCCTCATTGGCTTTTTACATTACATAAATAATAGTGGCGCCAGAGATTTTTTTAAATTTTCTCTACGTACAAACTTTCTCTGGTCTTCCACGGATAATTCAAGACCAAGATTAGCCACATCGGTAAAGCCAATGTTGACTGTGAGAGAGACATTACAGCGAAGTGATATGAACCTAAGTATGTTTTATTTCACAGTGATACAGTGGGTAACCTCGGTGCTTTCATCACAATGAATGGCAAAGACTTGAAACCGAACTTTACTACTTATGAAGCAGTGGTAAGTTGATTTGTTTCTTTTTGAAATCACACATTGATCTAAACAGGGTAGGCTTTATTCTTCATTGGAAAAACAAGACTAACGGTGAAACGGGGTGAATAGAATTTGAAGGGTGAATAGATACTAGGAAAATTCGCCAACATCTCTTCATATCTTTCGTATATATATTCACCCTGTTTACAATCCATTTTTATAAGTCTGGTTAAGTAGTAATCAACCATCGCTTTTTATTTTTTTAAACGTTTTCCCACACTGTGTTTTTGTTCTGTGTCGTGGGTTTAACATACAATGTCACATACACATCCCGGAACAGCAATTTGTCGATCACACAAAGAGTTGTTACGTGCGGGAATCGAGCCCGCGATTGGGTGAGACTGAGTTGTGCTATCCTGAAAACGTTAATAAACTGCAGCAAGTAATCGGAAATATTCGAAGACAGGAAGGAAAAACAATAACTCATCTCATTGAATGTACAACATTCAATCAAATGTATATTTGATTTCGTCATGTACCCCTAAAAATATATACAATAAGTATCCCAATATTTTAAAGTATCAACTTTCCAATGAGCCACATGTTAGGCCATTCATCTTATACTTAAGGCTGGCCGCATACACACGTTTTACGTATTCGATTTCCTAATGCGGAATTTCGATTTGGAATTCCGTGAGACTAGCGCAAACGTTCGTTTTTCTTCATTCGGAATGTATACACGTCAGTATAGATAGTGATAGCGTAGTGAACGCACGACGATGGAGGACGACGATTTATTAGCAATTGCATTTCTGTTGACAATAAAGAAGAAAAAGAAACGTCGGTATTGGGTACATCCATTGAATACTCGGAGAATCTACGAGAGTTCGTTTTATCTGAAGAGAACTAAGTTACGAGCACACCCAGATAAATTCTTTGATTTCTACAGGATGTCAATAAATTCTTTTGATGAACTTCATAATGGCATACGTGATAAATTAATAAAGCAAAATACCTCCATGAGATTATCCTTGGATACAGAAGAAAAACTAACCGTAACCTTGAGGTAAGTTCTCTTTATTTTTACATCTATATTTACAAAAATAACAAATCAACTATCTTAGTTAAACTTTAGGTATTTGCCAATATTATCTTCCTGTTCTTGTCCTTGAGATTGTACAACTAAAAAACTTGCAGCTTCGGTATCTTCGGCATGTTGAAGATTAGGTGATGTGTAGTGATGACGTGGTGGTTGAAGCGGTGGCAGATGTCTAATAGAGTTAATAACCACTCTGGAATTGTTTGGGGCAGATTGATAATTAGTGATTTTATTTTGCGAAGAAGATGTACTAATAAAGGTGGGCAATGGAGTTTCTGGTACAGGAATATATGAAAAAGAGGGGGAATAATCACGGCTTGATGCCGGCGTTTCTGAACGGTGACTGAAGTTATCATAACTCAGTGAAGAAGATGGAGATGAATTGTACTCAGTATTGATTTTTTTTACCAACTGCAACATTCCCAATTTAAAATCAATTTTTTGATTTTCATTCATATGTTTCATATGTGTTCTAAAGCTCAATAAAAATTTCATGTCGTCGTCTTCTACTTCTTGTTGTTTCTGATTGGCTTTCTGTTGATTTTGATGTAGGATACTGAGTATTTGGGAGGGGATATCTTTTTTGTTTCGTTTTAAACTACTTGCAGGTGGAGTTGATACAGGTGATGGAGGTTGTAATATATTTGTATGGTGATCTATTTGTTCCACGCTGTGTTCTTGCGTTTCAGATTCTTGTGAACTATTATTGTGTAAATCATCGAATTGATAGTTTCCTTCGGTATTTCTTTTATCGAATACCGGTATAAGAAAATACAACAGGTCTGCATAAACATATTTTTTAACCTTTTTAGCGGCACTGCCTGTAGGAGCGCTTTTATTTTTTTGAAAGTCTCTTCGAAAGTAGTCTCTTATGTGTGTCCATTTTTTCTTTGCCTCAGCACCTGAAATGTAATTAATATTATTTTATATCTTTTTTTCAGATTCCTGGCAACGGGTAAAAATTTTGAAGAGTTACACTTTGAATATTTGATGGGGAGCAGGACCGTATCAGCCGTAGTTAAGGAAACCTGTACAGCAATATGGGAAGTTTTTCAACCTTTGGAAATGAAGCCACCATCTTCAAAAGAACGTTGGCTAGAAATTGCTGAAAATTATTATAGAAGAACCAATTTCCCTAATTGCGTAGGTTCAGTGGATGGGAAACATATTCGTTTGATTTCTCCTCTGCATAGTGGATCTGCCTTTTATAACTATAAACATTTCTACTCTGTTGTACTATTAGCAGTGGTAGATTCTGACTACCGTTTTATAGCTGTAGATGTCGGTGCTTATGGCAGAGACAGCGATAGTAATATTTTTAACAACTGGAATTTTGGAAAAAAGTTAATTCAAAATCGTCTTAATATGCCTGAAGCAAAACCTCTGCCGAATACCAATGACACACCACTACCTTTTGTGTTTCTTGGCGATGAAGCGTTTCCACTGAATAACAATTTTATGAAACCATATCCGAGAAGTAATCTCAATACCCAACGCAGAATTTTTAACTACCGCCTCAGCAGATCACGACGTGTAGTGGAATGTGCCTTCGGTATTCTCTCGAATAAATGGAGAATTTTTCACACTAGCATGACGATTCCACCAGAATTTGCAGTATTAGTAACAAAGACTGCGTGTGTGTTACATAATTTTGTACGCAGACGAGACGGCTATCGATTTGAAGATACTCTGACACATTACTTCGAAGATATACCTTACCGTAGTCCACAACACAGATCCACAAACCGAGGTCGAAACATAAGAGACAATTTTGCTGAGTACTTTATGACACCGGCAGGGGAAATATCGTACCAATATAACGAGAGAATTAATAATTTACAAGAATAAATGTGGGCACTATTGTATTAAAAAGTATATAGAAAATATCTTACCTTTGTTTTCTTTGTCCACTTTAGTGCACGTGTCCCAATCCTTTATAACCTCTTTAAATACATTCTCCCAGGCCAAATCTTTGACATCTTTGTTGTGATAGTCATTGTCATGAATATTCCACAGGCAGGGGTATTTTTCAACAGCCAATATTAATGTTTCTGCCTCACACATTATCGTGTTGCGATTCTATGCGTAACAAATACAAAGAATACGTCCGATGCGCGCGCCGCGGGCGCAAAACTGAATAGAAATTTCCGAACGTGTGCGCCGGCACAAACAAAATGTATGCAAGCGCTGCGTTCCGCATGACGTCATTAGGTTTTTTCCCGTACGTTTCTCCGAACGCGCCGGCTTGCATTCGGAATACACGTTCGGATTTTGTTCCGTACGGAAAAAAAACGAACGTGTGCGTCAGTTAATGTATTTTATATTGAATCTATGCATTCGGATGCCCGCATACGGAAAACGAATTCGGAAACCTAATACGGAAACCGTATGTCTGCGGCCGGCCTTATGGGATCCACACTATAGATAATTACTGGCAGGCAATCGAGTTGTAACTTGTTAAAGGATCTTAAGAATAAGTGGCACCGCTGGGCGCCCAATACAATACGAAACGTCACATCTGGTTGCAATAACACTGACCCGTGAAAGGTCCAGAGAAACAATTAAGACATTGCACAAAAAGTGTCATAAAACCCCAAATGCAAGGGCCTGGGAAAAGGGCTCTGGCGAGATGATGTTAGAAATATGATGAAGACGATAGGACTTACTCTTGAACTGCGGAGACGATAGGTTGTCTTAGATAAGCTAAAGCTGATTCTTAGAATTCAGTATTACAAAGTAAAGTCAGTGTGCAGTGTGGAAGGAGAGCAGTGTGAGTGCAGCGAACGGGTATGTGAATGTGGTCTTAATTGTAGGTTAGGGTCTTATCCTATCCTATTTGTATCCCGGAACAGTGCTTTGCACTGTACTTGTTGTACGCGCATCTCCAGGGAGCGGGGGTAGGCTTCACCAAGTATCTCGGAGGCTCTCCATACATTTGATAGCTCTGTTCGAAAGGAACACTAGATTCAAAACACATGTGTGTCTCGTCAAATCCAAACAAAGCTGTGGTGGCAATCTCTAATCTAAAAAAAATATATTTGACGAAACATGCACTGTCGAAACGGGGTTCGATTTATTAAACGTGGTCTACTTATTTTCTTACCAATCTGGAAGCTCCGGAGACCAAATCGTGATCGATGTATTTCCCACTTTAGATTTCGGCTAGATAGTAGGGGTTTTCTCCAGTATGACAACACTGACACTTTATAGCGATAATTTAGGTTTATTTGGTTACAAAATATTTAGATTATTTGTTTATTTATTTAGTTTTATATATTGCACACATTCGACATGATCTTCTTTTTATTCACGAGTGACATTAAAAATTTCTAACAGTTAGTTGCCTAGCAATGTACCAAAGAGCTTTTCACTAGTGCTATGCAACCTCAACACTTTCCCTCACTAGTTGGAAAGATCTTGCAGACCCAAATCCTCTCTTAGTTTAACGAGTCTGGGTCTTGGTACTGCCTTCGTCAAAAGGTCAGCCAATTGCTCTGTGGAGCTAGTTTTCTGCACATTCAATAGACCTTCTTGCACAATTTCACGTACAAAGAAGTGACGTATTCGGATGTGTTTCGTCCGTTTATGAAATTCGGGATTGTGGGCAAGGCGAATGGCTGCTTCATTATCCACGCTTAAAGTTGATATGTCCGCCAAACTTGTAAGTTGAGCATAGATCCTCTGAAGCCACACAAGTTCTCGTGCACCTTCGCTCGCTGCCACAATTTCCGCTTCGGTTGTTGAAATCGCGACCGATGCTTGACGTTGGCTTAGCCACGAAACAACTCCATCAGCATACATACAAATAACGCCTGTGGTTGAGCGTCCACTAAGCTCATCACCACCGTGATCTGCATCACTATATCCTCGAATTACAGCTTTGCAAGGACCCGAACTGTATTTGATGCCATGGGACATTGTTCCTTTAAGGTATCTGAAGATCCTCTTGACTCTCAGCCAATCAGCTTCTGTCGGATTCTCCAACTTCCGTGATACTACCCCAACAGCATACGCGATATCGGGGCGCGTTCCTGTCATCAGGTATGCTAAGGCTCCTACTGCCTCTCGATAAGGAAACTTTTTCTCAGGTGCTTTCCCTGTTTCTGAAGTCACTGTTTCGATTGGTGTAGAGACGGGATTGCAGTCAATCATATTGAAGCGTTCGAGGATCTTCCGCGTATAAGCTTGTTGGCTTATAAATATAGATCCATCCTTGGAACGTTCTATTTCAAGGCCAAGGTAATACGAAGCCGGCTTGCTTGTGATTTTGACAGCTTGTCCCAGCTCCTTCAAGAATTTAGTTGCCAAAGCCTCGCTTGTAGTGGCCATGAGTCCGTCATCCACGTACAACGCCAACAAAATCTTATTGCCCCCTTCTGTCTTTGTAAAGAGACAACAATCAGCTTCATTCTGTGTGAATCCTTTTTGCAACAGAATGTCTTCAATGCACATGTTCCAGCAACGAGGAGCTTGCTTTAGGCCATATAGACTCCTCTGTAGCCTGCATACTTTCGAAGAGCCATCAGAAAAGCCAGGAGGTTGTGACATGTATATTTCCTGCTCTAATTTCCCATTTAAAAAGGCTGTCGCGACGTCAAATTGTGTTAAATGAAGTTTCTCTTGTGCAGCAACGCTTAAAAGAGCTCTAATGGTAGACATCCTGGCTACCGGACTATATGTCTCCTCATAATCTAGCCCTTTCCGTTGTCTGAACCCTTTAACGACCAATCGCGCCTTATATTTGTCTATGCTTCCATCTGGGTGTCGTTTAATCCGAAAAACCCATTTACATGGTAGCGCTTTTCTATTAGACGGGAGCTCGCACAGTGTCCATACATTATTCTCCTTGAGTGACTGAAGCTCGCTGGCCATGGCTTTCCGCCATTCCGCACCGTCAGTTCTACTTATTGCTTCATGGTAGCTCTCTGGAAAGTTTTCTGTGCCTACAAAGCAGACGTAGTCATCGAACTTCTTAGGGGGAGCAAGAGTTGACCTGTCTCTAAGGTTATATCTAGGTTCCTCTTCTCTCTGGGGCTCATCTCTCAGGGGCTCGACTACAATTTCCTCTTCTTCCCCTTCTAGTCGAGGCACCTCTACTCTCAGAGGCTCAACTATGTCAAGAGGTTGCTGTTCCCCTTCAGCCGGAAAATTCTCTTCCCCTTCAGCATCGACAAACTCTCCATCATCATCTTGCTCAGTAGTATCAGTAGCATCCTCAGACCCTAACCGTAATGTGAATTCAACATTACTTTGAAAAGTTATGTCTCTGGATTTGAATGTTTGATGTCCGTCCCACACACGATATCCATCGTCGTTTTCATAGCCAATAAGAATGCCTTTCATGGCTTTCCTAGACATTTTGTTACGCTTCTGCTTTGGGATATGTGCATAACATTCACTACCAATAACCTTGAGGTGTGATATTCGAGGTTTTTTGCCGTGCCATAGTTCGTATGGAACTTTGTCTGTCACTCGACTTGGGCCTGTTCTATTCAGAACATACGCTGCGGTATTAATCAATTCCGCCCACAAAATTTGCGGTAACTCATTCCTTGCATGCATCATACTTCTCGCGGCCTCTACCAGGGTTCGGTTCTCACGCTCACTACACCCGTTCTGTTCCGGTGTGTAAGGCATTGTCAGTCTGTGCTGTATACCAAAATCCTGTAGTATTTTCTTGACGTCTTTATTATCAAACTCGCCACCGTTGTCACTAAGCAAGGTTTTCACATTATGCCCAGCATTCTTTGCCTCTTTCAGCATCTGCAGCAACTTGTCCTTGACTTCTGACTTCTGACGTATGAAGTAAACCATACGGTAGCCTGAGTAGTCGTCCTTGAACAATACGTAGTACCGGAGTTTAGTTATGCTTGGTGCAAAAGGACCGCATACATCTGTATGGATTAGCTCTCCACATACAGGAGCTCTTTCCCTGGTTCCAAAGGTCTGTCTTTGGGACTTCCAACTTGCATTTTTTTGTCGTTGATGTAAAAATACTGTTCTGCGCTCTGTCTTGTGCCGCCAACGGTGAAAAGAGATTTTTTTGTGAGTGATGGTACTAGCCAGACTTCTTCAAGAGTAATATGGACTTTAGTTTCGTTGACCTTGGATTCAACTTTAATAGAACCTATTCCAACTGCAGGAATCACAGTCCCATCCGCTGTAGTTACTGTGTGATTTGAATCGAATTCACGAAAATCCGTAAACATCTTTCTTGAAACGGCTATGTGCGTGGTTGCTCCGTTATCAACATACCAAGATTCTTTATCTTGTATTTGATTAACTGTGCACGCGTTCACCATCAGCGATAAGTTCTGCACTTGGTTAGATTTAATGTCTGAATGTGACGTGCTTGGCTTTGGTGGTCTTCCATCCTTTATCCATTTCTTGCACTGTCTAACTCTATGTCCTTTACCGGAACAGTAGTTACATTTCAGATCATTTCTCTCCTTCTTGTGCTTACTCTTTTGCTCTGCAGGTGTAGTCACCAGTGCTTCCTTTTGGATGGTGCTCTCTGGACCACCTAAATCTCTTTCAAATGCGCAGAGATGACTCGTAAGACTGTCGATCGTTTTCTCAGACTGCTTCAGCATTAACCAGCTCGACTTAAAATTAAAATACCTGTCATCCAGAGTATGTAAAACCTTGCAGATAAGGAATAGATCAGGCAGCTTAGCTGTTGCGTCTACTTTCTGGATCTCCACTACTAGGTCGTTCCATAAATTCTTTAGCTTTGACAGAAGTGTAGGAATATCATCCTCTTGATCCCGTTTTAGCCCAAAGAATTCAAGACACAAGTTGTAAGCCCTGTCCTCTGTCTGCCTATCAAAAAGTCGATGCAGTTCTGCCCAAACTTCGTGTGCCGTTTTGTAACGCATAACCTTCTTTAACGTTTCTTCAGTCATATTGGTTGTCAGCATCAGGAGTGCACCGCTTTGAGTCCTCTTATATTTAGCCATTGCAGCATTATAAGTGCTTTGAGCAGCATCTCCTGCACCAGGTGGTAAAACTGGCATTGGAAGTCTATTTTCTACTGCTTCTAAAGCACCTTCCGTACCCTCAAGCATGGCTGAAATTTTGTACTTCCATGTTTGCCAATTGTTTTTGCCCTCTAGTTTTCCGATCTCTAATTTCGTTGAGAAATCCATGGCACTTTTCAGTCGTCCAGTGGTGGTGGGTCCCAATACCTATTAAATTTGGTCTACTTATTTTCTTACCAATCTGGAAGCTCCGGAGACCAAATCGTGATCGATGTATTTCCCACTTTAGATTTCGGCTAGATAGTAGGGGTTTTCTCCAGTATGACAACACTGACACTTTATAGCGATAATTTAGGTTTATTTGGTTACAAAATATTTAGATTATTTGTTTATTTATTTAGTTTTATATATTGCACACATTCGACATGATCTTCTTTTTATTCACGAGTGACATTAAAAATTTCTAACAGTTAGTTGCCTAGCAATGTACCAAAGAGCTTTTCACTAGTGCTATGCAACCTCAACACGATTAAGGAGGTGTAATGATGTGTAGATCTGAATGGCCACTTCGGCGTACACAAGTGCATCTGTAAAGTAATCTTCCACGTAGTATACACCCTCACCTTTTGCTGCCCTCTTATTCTATTAGTAAATGTAGAATCATTATAATAAGACTTCCTTTCCCTAATGAATTCTCTAATTCCTTTTGTACTTGCTTTTAAAATATTATAAATATAAAGTATAAATAACATAATTAAACCAATAAAATAAATTATGTTGTTTATTGGGAATTCATTATCCCTGTAAACGGTGGGAGAGTGACCAGCAACAGGACGAGCTCTACAGGACTGGGCGGATGGCGGAGCTCAGTCCCTTGCCATCCTCATGTTACTATTATATACTTAATTAGCTATTCTTGCGCGGTTCCACCCACTGCTCCATTTGATCGTAGCGTGATGTTTTATAGCCTATAGCACTCAGAGACATTGTAGCTATCCACTAATGAAAGAATTTTGCAAATCCGACCATAGGTGCCAAATATTTACCCCCTACACACAAACTTACAAATTACAAATTTTACCTCAGTGTTAGGTAAGCGCAATGTGGCACCGCGGTGGAAGGAACGGGTGTGTTTTTAGTCAGTAAAAGTTTGACACTTTCTCTCGCCTTACCCTGGTCGGCAGAAGTCATTTGATGTTTTTCCTCTGACAAAAAAAAAACCTTAAAAGTATAGCCCTAAGACATAAAATAAATATGTGTTAGGGCTTACGATAGGCTATGAGCGTTTTGTTAACACCTGTTATTTTAATGTTCCAGCCACATCCGGACGTCAAGCCGATGGCGTACGCGAATTCGTTCTTCAACATGCTGTGTCAATGATCAGGTACCAACGGTGTCGCTTGTTAGGAACTCGTCAACACCCATAAACCAACCACACGCGCGCTCCTCCACTCGTTCAACTTTTTCACCGCCATGGTCGGCTATAGACGACAATCGAAAGGCTATTTCTCCAATGTCGACTATAGCCGACCGTGGTGGTTGAAAGGTTAAAATATACATATATTTTTGATGCATAAAAATAATCTCAAAATGCACTACACAAGTACTATTTTTTCCCCTCAATATTCAATATCGTGAGAATAATTGAAAACTATGTCTAACAACCGGTTTCCGAAAGGTCGATCAATGTTAAAATCAATTTAATCTCTCGTCAAGTCATCTGATTGGTTGACTGAATTATCAACAACCAATCAGATGACTTGACAAGAGATTTAACAGGAGATTAGTTAATTTTAGCGTTGACAAACCTTTCAGAAACCGAGTGTTACTCTCGTAAATTATCCGAGGAAAACTTCTAGTTTCAAGTTACAACGGGACTTTTATTCGTAGGTCGGTTAGGCGCAACGCGAACTCTTCTTACAAGCATAGGAGTCCCGTTAAGACTTGAAACTATAAAGAGTAAGTTTAATTTTTTTATCGATGTTATAAAAACTTTGTCTCTTAAAATCTCCTCTGAAATTTGGTTTCAGTAATGCACAGTAAAACTGCGTTGATACCAGTGCGAATGTTGAAATATAACTTTTTTAAACCTGACTTGACTCACACAAATGTGTTTGGTATGCAAGCAACCCATATTTAAATATAGGTATAGGTACCACCGCCTGCTAGTCGACTGTGAAACTTAACTTCAATATACTCCAGTAATTATTTCAATGCTACCACGAATTCGCGCCAGAAAGTTCAATGGACAATTCGAAAAACAGAATCTTTAATTTATTTAAGCGCCATCTAGTGACTACAAAAGCAAGAAAATAGCTTCACAATGACTAGATTATCGTTTTCATATACTTAGAACAAAATAATAAAGCTCATACATGGTTTATTATTGATCTTTATACTTATGGTGTCTATTAAAAATGTTTGCGTCAAGTCTATGAATATATCTACTTTGGAAAGCGTCACCAATTTGGCCAAAAATGCAAACTGTTCTTGTAGTACTGACCAATTCTGTCGTACATTGTCAATTACATATTTAGAATCAACAAAATATTGAGTGAGTTAGATACTGTAAGTAGCTAATCCTTTTTATACAAAATTATTCTTTATCCGTGGCAACGCACTAGGATTTCTCTATGTACGTGCATTTGCAAGACAAATGTTGCAAATATAATAACAAAGAATTGTTTACACTAGTTAATCAAGCCCGCAATTCGATTTGAACAACGGCCGGTTCCCAGCCACTGCGGAACTGTGCAAGTCAAACTACAGTAAATGATTTCTTAATCTCTTAAACCCTTCGACTGCCCTGTTCGGCTATAGTCGACAAACCAAATATACTTAATCATCGGCTATGCTCGACATTAGCGAAGTAGTCTATTTTTTCTTTTGTCGTTTATAGCCGACCGTGGCGATCACAATGTAAAAAAAATGTATCGCGTTTTATCTACAAATCCGTTATTTAACATTTTGTTTTTATACGAAAGGAACGGAGGATTTACTATAATTGTTGCTTCGATACATCTACTGTAGGATTCGGCTTTCAATTGTAAAATTTACTTATTTATAAGAAGTCTACTGAACAGACTAAGGAAACTTTATACCTACTAGTACACAATTTATTGAAGTCCATTAACTCTTTCGAAAATTTGCTTACATTTGGATCGCCACTGTCGGCTATAGATGACAAACGAAACATAGGCTATTTTGTCAGTGTCGAGCATATAGCCGACCAGAAAATGTCGTAGGTATATTTGATGTGTCGTCTATAGCCGGCCATGGTGGTTAAAAGTTTATTAACTTTTTAGACCTTGATTTACAGCGAAGAAATACGAAATACCATTTCTAAAACCGTTTTGGTTGAACGATCTTCAGCTAACATAAACTTTATCATTGTTAAGAAGGCTGTTGTAACAAGTTTTTAATACAATTTGTAAATTCAAATATACTGCTTTATGAAGCCACTTCATATATTAAACTCCACTGAAGCGATTTGAACGAAACTTTTTGCGTTTTAGCTCAAATTGTTTCAGATAAGACGACGCAAAAGTGCAATTCAATAATAGTGCTTACTGTTTATACTGTAAGGCTTAAAATGGAGGAGCGTTGGGTAAAATATCGCCTAGGTATTCTTCAAGACAATATTATAATTATGTATTATTGAGGAAATAAGAATATGCCTAAGAGAATTGTTCCCACATAGATTTTGTAGCGTAAACTTGTTTCCTCGATCGTACGTCTAGCGTAGCAATGCAATGTCTTAAAAGTGTTGCCTACTACTTGTATATTATACTCATAAGTCTTAGTTGTAACTTTTATTTTTTATTCACGCGCTGTTGTGACTATTTCAATATAAGTGCACGCGAGTATTTAACGGTATTTGGTTTATAAGGTACTAAATGAACCATATTGGAGTAAATAATTAATATACTTGTGTTTTCATTATGCAAATATACTTGCCTCGCAAAACCTCGCCTTGGGGTTTACGATTTCTCTATGCCTTTTAAATATATAATCTTTATATAGTTTTTTTTGCATTGAACCGTTAAATATTCGCGTTTAGGGGCCTTTTCGCTATCACTTAATATACCATAGTGGCAATAATCAACTAATGATCTAAGTCTCTTCATCGAAATACATGTACACTATGTAAAGTTTAAGTCACAATAATCCCTAATGATGAAATTAGGCAAGAACCTATATTTTATGTTAATATTATTTTAAACTTACTTTAATTCTATCTAATCTCAAATATGTTAATCTACTCCCGTTACATACAACAGCGCCAATGAATTATGTTTTTAGTTTTTAATATTGTTTTCTGAAAAATGAAAATTTATATTTAACCAGCCATTCACACATCACTGAATGATGTCAAAGATTTAATATTTAATAATGAAAAATGTATATATATGATATTTTTTAACTATAGACTTTAGCCGAACAACGTACCGAGCTACGTATAAGCTTATGCATTTAGTTGAACATTTATAACGTTCTAACATTGATACGGACATTCTTGGGCTTGAGAATAAAACCTTCATACAGGTCAATAAATGCCTTAAAAATTTAAACAACTTTTCTCGAAGCATAGATTGCTATTGTCTATGAATGTCGCAACGTCTACAACAAGTTACCTTTATTACCAGTCTAACTCAATCGTGCATTTTATTTTTATTATTCCAATTATACTAAAATATTATGTTAAGATCCGAATATGAGGAATGCTTGAATGAAGACGAATAATTTCAACTGATTCGCGCCTAAACTACGATTATTTTTGAATACGGAATGTATCACTGGCACACAAGTCTAAAAAGAGTTGCTCCATATTTTCTTATTAAAGAAAATAAATAGCGTAATGTTGTAACGCAATAAAATTAATTTTAACGAATTATAATGACCAACGTTGGTGTAAAATAGCTTTATTATAAGAGTACGTACACAATAGATAAATAGTTATTTGAGTGATTTTTAGTGCACAGTTTTAAAACTGAATTAAATTGTAATGAAGGTGCTAGAGAGGTGAGGGGATCGTAGCATACGATTTCCATAATTTAAATAACGAATGAGTTCCAAATTTGATTTTCAGTTAAAGGAAAAAGGAAAAGGATTTACTGTGCACTAGAATTTGTTCAATTGATGGTTTAGTGGAATACCTACAGGAGGACGCTTGTCGACACACAGCCTATGGCTTCACGCAATGTGTAAGGAATACTCCTGTGTGCACTTTACTTAAATTTTGTTTTGGTGGTCTGCTACTAAACGTTAGCAGAGGGCTCGATTTGTTATATCAGTAACAACATCATACGACCTCTTTTCTATCGAACTATTTGTTCACCAAAATGTTGTATGCAAGTTTAAATTAGTGTTAAGTCGCGTTAATAACACCTTTAATAACTGAAGAACGGCTGAGCCGATTCAGTTGAAAATTTATGGGGAGATAGTTTAAGAGCATGCGACGGCCATATGGCTGTATGTCTCTTTCTAACCTCCCACTTTACTAAAATGGGGGTGAAGTTTGAAAAGTACATTCTGTAATTTTCAATGTTGTCTCTTTAAAAATAAGGGGTTGATATTTTTTACTTATTTATTTATACTTTAATGTACATTAAAGACAGATGTACATAAGGTGGAGTTAATGCCATATCCACTCTGCCAGTCAATATTTTATATGGGACATGTCGAAGATTTTTACAAAGCTAAAAATCTAAACACCCGTCTTTGTTAAGGACTCATAAATCTGCCCTATGCCCCTGTTTTTGGAAGTCCTAAAACGCCCAGAATTTTTTTGACATTCTCACCCAAAAGGAAAGACTTATGCTCGGTTTCCGAAAGCCCGATCAATGTTAAAATCAACAAACTAGGTGTCAAATCTCTTGTCAAGTCATCTGATTGGTTGTTGATAATTCAGTCAACCAACCAGATGACTTAACAAGAGATTAAATTGATTTTAACATTGATCGGACTTTCGGAAAACGGGTGATAGTATCGTCTAAGTGTCTGTTGATATATGCGTTCTAATCAGAATCGTGTTACCCCGAATGTAACGCGAGTAAAGCCTCGGACAAAAGCTAGTATTAGATATATCGATCAAACAAGCGTGTCTCCACGAATACACTGATAAAATGAGCCACTCTACAAACACAGAAGTCTTGGATCATCAAAACAATAATCAAGGTAAAAGAATGCTCAAAAGGCATAAGTTTTTTATGAAAAATTGGAAACTCTTAGATAATAAATGAATTATGTTAGATAATTAGAAGTACACAACGTCAGGGAATACATTATTTATGTCAATGGTGCGGTAAATATAGTTCAAGGATTGCATTGCCCAGCATATCAGATGATGTAGATAGGTTTTGGTGTTGACTTTAATAAAATTGTTAAATTTGTATCTTGGTGTTCTTATTTTAGTTATAATTACCCCTAGTTGATCTGAGTGCCCAGTGCAAGTTTGCTTGGTGTTAATGCGATCGATTGTGTTGTGGTGGCCCGAAGGCTCCTCGCAATGTGGGCGTGGTTTCGAAACCTGGCAATTGCTTAGCTAATGGTAGACGGCTATGGCAGACGTAGGTCTGCTCGTTTTCCTTTTTTATCTATTTAGAAAAGCTAAACGTTGCCCCACACAAGGACTTTTTCCTGTGTCGTGGGTGGGGTTACAAACGTGTTACAAACATAGAATTTCACATATACATGACACCCTCAGAATACAGAACAAACCAGAAGGCGTCATCGCGCTACAAACTAAAGCAACTAAAACCATTCTCAACTAGAATAGTATGAAATTTCTACGATTAGTCAATTTTGGCACGTGGCATGTCGTGACGTATTTACGAGTATCAATTTTAATTTCATAATGCCGTCTTGTGTTATTAGAACGAGTAAAAATGCGACTGGAATTACGAAAAAGGTGGATAAGATTACATTTCATCTGCAAGCATCGACTGCAATAGTATATTTAATTAATTATTGAATTTTTTTAATCGATTTATTTTTCTATGAAAATGATGCGGCCATTTTGTGAGTGTTGTCATTTTTGGTGAAAATTTTACCCACTTATTTATTTGTTGTAGGTTATATTTTTGTCCATTATGGAGCCTATGTCATATTAGTTTCCCTGACAATACAAATCATACAAAGGGCACGGTTAGATTAATTTTGCAAACCATCTAGCCAGAGCATAGTTTGCTCAATTCACTTTGAAGAGATATATTTATGACAAAGGTGGTTTGAAAACAGTATAATTATCCTACTAAGATATATCTACACTAATTATAATGCTGAAGAGTTTGTTTGTTTGTTTGCTTGCTAGAATGCGCTAATCTCAGGAACTAAGTAAAGTAAGTAGACTTCTAATCTTTAGTTCCGAGTCTAAAGACAATACATATAAAAAACTAAACCAGCAAAAGGGAACGCAATAAAACCTTTGTACTTATCGAAGCTTTATTTTATTTGTTGTGTATAGTAGGTGTAACTAAAATTAACAAATCCAGAAATCGTCTACTTTTATGATACCTCTATGAAATGGGTGAACAACTAGTCTGTTGCATTTATCGTAAGTTTACCTATTTTGTTGGGTTTACTTGTATCTTACCCTCCTGTTGTAAAATTACCCCAAACCAAGGGAATTGTTCCACTGTCGGCAACACTACGCGGGTGGGAAGTGCGGCTGGCGGGGGGATTGACGTATTGTTTTTGGACACATTTGACGACATGTAATTATGAGTGAACGCGGCTTCTGGTTTGTTCTGTATTCTGAGATGACACCCTAAGATTACCCATTACTCCTATTCCATAAAAAAATATACTCATAAAATATGTACCTATGTTTGTGATAGTTATTTTTTATACATAGGTACATACATAGCTAAAAATAAGACAGCGCTCTTATATTCAAACTGTTTATTAAAAATGTATTCTAGATTGAGGTAATGTTGATAAAAATCTACGAGGGCACAAGTTGAGTCAGCATTTTGACGACAGTCTTCTTGTCTAGTTTACATTTGTGGTAGAGTTCGTGGCAGTCTGAGTCTGGCGACCGTCCTGCTGACACCGCATCGAACACTGCCGTCCCGTCCAGCATACGACGGACTAGCGTGTTGCTGAGAAAACAATAAAGTACAGTATTAAGATATATAAAAACATCAAATACGTCAAAAAAGTGTAAGGTACCTACCTACTAAACCTGGAGGAAACTTTTCCTTTTCTGAAACTATACTATCCTAAAAGGCGGCCGCCGAGCTGTGTCGGCTTTCCAGCAATCGTGCTTAGCGGTACAAGGCGTAAAAGAAGCAATCGCCTCGGCAATACACCATCATCCTGTCTCAATAATTTGCAGGCAAAACAGGTATGCATGGAGTTGGGAATATAGGTGCCCAACCAGTGACTGGGATCTCGTATCGCCGTGTACAGTGCTCAGCAAGGCTTTAAAAAGACTTACCTCCATAGAGATGTGCCGTAAGAGACGTTCCAAACGGAGACCCTTACAAGTAGGTACTTAAATATGGTGTCCACTTGAGAGGTTTTAGTGAGGTAAAAACCCCACACTCTCTAGATATTTTCCCCAAATCCTAAGAGCTTTTTGAAAGTTTCTACCAGTCAAAAAAACTTGTACTTGCTAACGATGTTTATGAACCCATTTTCGACTTCAACGCCCTCTACTTACATTATCAAAAGTACTCACTTGGACAATGAAGACAGTAAAACATCGAAGTCTGTGGCGTTACCGCTGATCATGTTTTCGTTGGCCAATTGCACGTAGGAACATGCCAGCCGTTGCATGCAAGCTGTCGAGTCCACGTTGTATCTGCTCAACATCTCGTCGATTTTCCCAAAAACTTCTGATACTTGTCCAAAATCAGTGTCCAGACCTGAAGCGAGATTTTGTAATGCAATAAATTCTAGGATATTTGACTGCACGGCTAAACTGGCTGTCGTGGCATATCACAACTTTGATGCCCACTGATGTTCCGGCCGAGGCTACAGTGAAGTTTATATAAAACTGCGAGTTTGTAAATGTACCCACATAAGTTATAGCATGTGTCTGGTGTATTTTATGACAGTTGTTTTACGCTTTTTCGTCAATAGAAAAGTTTAATGCTTCAAAAACTTACTTCGTCCGTATCCTCCGCCGTAGCTGTAAGACAGAGCGTGGATGATCTTAGGTAGAATGATGACAGCTCCAAAGCCCAACAGCGATCCTATAAGCACTCCTCCTAAATCTATCTTCACAGGCCCATAAAGTCCTGGAGCAGTGCTGCCGTAGCTACCACCCTGAAATGCAGTATCCCTTAGGTTAGAAGGCCAGTCAACCATTTAACAAGACTGTTATATTTATTTATATTCATAATAAAAGAATATTTAAAAAATAGGGGCTAGCCGGCAACGGGGACATGGTGGTTAGGGCTTCAGAGACAGAACGCTTCTCATAAAACGTGCTTAAATTTCTTTTATTATCTATTAAAAGTGCATCTTGTACGAAAAAGCCACGTTAGTCGAGTTGATGGAAGCGTGACTGCGAATAAGGTTTCTGGTTCTGCGATTCTCGGCTAAGCATTATAAAATTTTAGATTTTTCTATAATTCTTAGAAAAACGGACGGTTTATTATCTAGTGTCTTTCTAAACTTCTAACTTCTGCTGGTCTTCAAAGGTCATTGAACTACAGTTAGAGAAACAATATCTTATGTCTCCCAAATGTTTCGATGTTCTTACCGCATGGTTACCCAAGTAAACTACACCATTTTTCCGTCGTCTGCACCTCATGTGTAGCAGCGTAGTGACAAATGACAATTCTGTATTAAAAGGCCGACACTACTTCACAAAAATCGCTTGCCAAATTTGAAATCACGGTTTTCAGTAACGGTGAATTTTGTTCAAATGGTTTACGGTGATCGAACTCGCGTTTTTGTTTTGTTGATTGGGGCAAGTCATCAAAACACTTCTCATAGAAATGCCAGAATTGTACTAAATTAAGACCACCCCTTTTCGTCTGCTCTAAGCCGAGCTTGGGCTGCGGTACATGATCGCGTAACCCTAGCCTAGCCTAGACTGGGGCCCCATCTTCGGATGTATAACTGTTTGATAGCTCTCGCGTCTTTCACGCTATAACACAATCACACGGAATTGTTTAGCAGTTAATCCTGCATGATATGTGACTAACCAAACAAATCAAGAAATAGATCACTGTCAATTGACTGATTGTATGATGTCCAAAGTAACAAACAGGCATCTAAAAAATTAAGGATAATCACCCCAGTACTCCCATACGAGGATATGCCAAATCTCTGCGTTCTATCAGCCTGGTTATCCCTCTCGTCTCTATTCTTCTCGATCCTGGCTGAAGGTTCTGCAAGCTGGTCCTCAGTCCTCTGGAAACTCGGCACGAAGCCTCTGAAATCAAAACTGAGATCGATTAGTATAAAGTAAAGATATCTTCAAATTTGGAGGTTGAGGAAGTAGATACCAGTTTCATTTATTTAGGTACTCTTTATATACAGGAAAGCTTGGGATATAACGTAGGTACTATGGGCGGTCTTATCGCTTAATGTGTACAAGTACCTATTTCTTACAGACAACCTTTGGAATACCAGTTATGGATCTCTGGGGATGATTTTAGTAAAGAAAGGCATCTTACCCATCGTTTCTGTACTCAGCTCCTGCCAGGACGAGATACGCTGCAAGCACCACAAAAGACACCTTAGGACCCATCTTAACAGACTCTTGGGTATGACTGACGTCTTCCAATTCCGCATACATCTTTATACGGGGCGTTCCATCGCGTGCCCGAACACAATGACATGGGGAAACACCATTGTCACATGTGGTCTACATTGCATAATAGTTTACGACAACACGTTACGGTTCTGGTCCGAAACTGTCCGATAGGCTTAGACAAAAAGCAGGAAGCTAATTAGCTAATTCCCCACTGACTTACATTGTGAGCTGCTGTATATTTTTCCTAGTTCCTACAAGTACTTGGTAAACGGTGTCTAAGTACTTTCATGGTAATGAAAATTAATAAGGCTTGTGATTGTGGTCGATCTTTAGTAATAGGAAAGGTAAATTAAGTGTGGGAGAGCCATGCTTCGACTCGACCGGAGCGATACCACGGCCTCACAGAAAACCGACGTGAAACAACTTCAACGTCGTGTTCCGCCGAGTGAGTGAATTTACAGAGGCCCAATCTGAAAATCTTCAAATCCATAATCTCTATAAGGTCAGCAAAGCACTCGTAACTTCTTCGGGGTTACGGGTGTCTCTGTCTTTCCATTAGGTAATCCGCCTGTTTGTAAGCCGTTCTATGTTTGTTTCTTCTTTTAAATGGTAGGTACAATTGGAAATACCTGTTATAAAATTAAATACTCTATCTCTCTCTAGTTTCGTCTTGTTTTGTTTGTTTCAAGCATCAAGAATTTATCGACATGTAAATCCTTCATGCAGGGCAGAAGTCGGTTGTAAAACCATCCGCTGACCACAACCCTCAGACATTAGAAACCGACCCTAGAGAGATCATGGCCTAAATTAGTAGTCCAAAATTATTTGAGGAGTATCTAAATATTAAATTAAATAAAAAAAATAAAAAGCTTTAATATAACTCACAATGAAAGATATCTGTGTGTCTATGTAAAATATTTTTCAACTTTTAAGATTATTATCCAAAAAAATATTCAAAATGTTTTTCTTTTCTTGCTTTCCCAAACACACAAATTCACATCTAGATGAACAATTTATGAATTACACGAGATCGGGGGAATTGAACCCGCTTGTATAACAGACAATTTTCTATGCAGTTCACCAACCGATGATGGTGCATGATAATATCATCGTGTCATTTATCTCTTGAAGAATAAGGTAAGACCATTGATCTCACTTTTCCCCAGTTACTTCTACTCATATTGTAATAACAATTAATGAACCTTTATTCAAACATTACTAGGTAGGTACAATACCGCCGACGTATCCTGCCGCCGCCGAAAGTTAGCCGATTAGCTGCGCAGTATACAATTTTGTTCCTAAAAGATCCATTGCGCAAACGGCTAACTTTAGACTCGCCATGATACGGCGGCCGTACTTTAAGAACTTATTACATTTTAAAATTTAATTATTAATTTTAATATCGAATGTCGACAGCCTCAATTAGGTTTTTGTCGACACTATAGCTACGTAACTCCCGCCCGCAGCTAGCAGCAACACGCGTATATAACTAATGCATCCAGGGATTTGAAACACAGCAGCGTAGCATTCAGCACTCAAGAACATTGCAGGTCATCTACCAGTGAAAGAATTTTGAAAATTCTACCAGCAGCAAATCCAAAGATTACTTCTCACCTACAAACTTACAAATACCTCTTTATAATATTATTAGAGAAGTATAGATAATCTCGTCACAGGTCAATCGTGAGACCTGCGCCAGTGCCTTATGCAAGTTTGCTTAACGTCTTAACATCAATGCGATCAACAAGGTTAATGACGTAATGGCGCTCTGATTGGCCTACACCAAGTTAACCAACCAATCAGAGAGCTAAACACCCTATAGTTTAGATAGCATTTTTTTAAAGAACTTTGCCCCACACTAGGATTTTCTCCTGTCTCGTGTATGCGTTTAGAAACATACACAAGCCAACTAGACCCGAAACAACAATTTGTGGATCACTAAAAGTGTTGTTCCGCGTGGGAATCAAACCCGCTACACATTACACGGCAGCCGGTTGCCCAGTCACTGCGGCAACCCTACAGTCGAAATGAAGAAAATAATACGAATAAAACTTAGACTAGGCGCTCTCCTTGACAGTTCCTTTGCTAACTACCACAAATCGAAAATTAATTTGGAACAATTATCAAACGTTAACATTTAGATAATACAGTAAATTTCAAACTCTATTTATAGTTTTAATCTTATAGACATAAAGTCGTAAATGGATTGAGGAGATTTGTTAAATTGCTACTCCAAATGGTCACAGAGTCCTAAAAATGTACGTATCTGAAGAAATAATCGTCGTGATCTATTTCATTCAGAGCGTGAAGGCATTGTTTGACTCCAAGAACAAATGCTTGCTGGCGACATACATAGCTTTTTTATTTTTATTATATTGCCAAATAATAGCGTAATATATTTCGGGGACAATTCTTTGATTGCATGTCATGTAAGTACTTAATTATGTATGTAGGGCAATTATTAACGCGGGTCTGCGAACGGCGAGTAAGGGTAGCTCGCCGCCCGACCAGAACCAGACCCGAACGTACGGCGCGTAGCGTTCCGCGCGCGCCTCAAAGAGCCAATAGACCACCACAGACGGGGCCCAATAGGGCTGATGTTCAGCCGGGGTTGCGGGGTAAGCGCAATGAGGCACCGCGATCTCGGCCCAGAGCAGGAGAAGGAACGGGGGGGTTTTTAGTCAGTAAGAGTCTGACACTCCCTTCCGCCCAGCCCGGGGCGGGAGAAGTCATTGGATGATTTACCCCTGACAAAAAAAAAGGGCGGCAATTATTAAAGACTGAATTACGTGCACCTGCACGTATGGCATGGTGGCGTGGGTGTAAATTTTTACCATGCCCGCTTTTTTATAACCTTATAATATTTTTTACAGTATATATCGGCAAATATCAGACGGGTTACCAATAACATTAAAGGAGTTGTTGTCGAGTGCGCTGCCGGACTTTTAGAGATAAAGGTTTGGAATATTTAGGGATTGGGAAAAGATGGGGGGGGGGGGGGGGGATTGGGCCTCCGGTAACCTTACTAACACGGCGAAACACAACGCTGTGGTTGTTTCGGTCGAGCCGACACATACGCGCCGAAGCTTGGCTCTCGCACACTTTAAAATTACATTAGTATATAGAATATATGTAATTGTTCTAGCTTGGAGTTATCATGCTCATTCGTAGGTCCCATATATCCCATATGGTGGTGGCACGGGCACTGGATCGCTCGATTCCCCATAATATGGTTGAGTTGGGCAATGCTGGTGTACGTGTATGTTCGTAAACAGGCGCCATCAATTGGAACTAATCAACTCGAGACAGTCTGAATATTTGTCCTTTGGGGATATTTTCTTTTTTCTATATAAGTGGAACAACAATTTTGTTTGTTGACATGTAGACAAGATTGACAAATAGTATCTAGGTACCTATTAAATATTAGTCTTCCAATGTATGAAGTAAATTCATTAAAGTCGTCATTAATAAGACACGGCAGTAGTTAAGATAATCATTAAAGTCAGAGGATGATTCCGAAGATGCAGGTAGCTCAAGCCAGGATTGTGAAGTGTGGAATAGCCATGCTTCGGCACGAATGGCTCGGCTCGACCGGAGTGATACCACAGAGTCACAGAAAAACGGCGTGAAACAACCACAGTGTTGTGTTTCGCCGTGTGATTGAGGTTACCGGAGGCCCAATCCTTCCACTCCCCCAACCCCTAATCCCTTATCTCTAAAAGGTCGGCAACGCACTAGTAACTCCTCTGTTGTTGCGAGTTTCCATAGGCGACGCCGATTGCTTACCATCAATGGTACCTAGATGCCGCACATAAAAAGATGATTCTAAATTCTGACCGACTATTAAACGTTAAATTATACCGTTGTCTTTCATTTTCTCTAAAACAAACAATCAATCAAGAGGAATGTTCGTGTTTACGACATTTACCTAAGTATGTACTGCATGCACGACTTTCAAATGTATTACATTTTTTTTTTAATTTTACCATTTTTTTATCTTATTTCAGGACTATAGACTATTAACACTTCATTAAATAAATGCAGTAAATAATAAAACAACTAAATAATGAAAGTATTAATATTAATAATCATTTACTTTTTAACCATTAGAAATTAATGTGTTGTGGATGCGTTTACTAACACACATCCAGAACTCGCGTAAAACTGATTTATTACAGCTCGCAGCAGTGTGGGAGAGCCAAGCTTCGGCACGAATGGGCCGACTCCACCGGAGTGATGCCACGGCCTCACAGAAAATCGGCGTGAAACAACCACAGCATTGTGTTCCCAATCCCTTCCCCTCACCCCTTCCTTCCCAATTTTTAAATATCCGAAACACTTATTCCTAAAAGGCCGCAACGCACTCGTAACTCCTTTGGTGTTGCGGGTGGCCATGGGCGGCGCTGATTGCTTTTTTTTGTGTCAGACTCTTACTGACTAAAAACCCTCCGTTCGAGGTCGCGGTGCCTCATTGCGCTTACCCCGCAACCCCGGCTGAGGCTCTGATTGCTTACCATCAGGTTATCCTAAGTACCTTCTCATTTTCCGATCTACACAAAAAAAAATTAAGTACTTCAACTCACACAACGATAATATAAGATAAAATTCTTCATCAATATTACAACATAAATTACTTTCATATTTATTACACAAGAATGTATTTATTGTAATGTGAAATCTGTGAAAGTATCAGTCTAATAACTATGTTTATATTAAAGAAACATAATATTATTAATGTTCGAGTACTCGCTAATCTAAGAAAAGACATTATGTTCTTCGCAACCGTGAAAATAGTACAAATTGTCTGATATATAGACTTTGCAACTTGTAGATAGGACCCTTGGCGTATGTGAACCTTTTTTTAAAGACATTCTCACCCACTGGGATATCTTCCTGAGTCTTGAGTACGTTTAGGTTTTATTTTGTCAGGGGAAAATCGTCAAATTACTTCTCCCGCCCAGAATAAGGCGAGACAGAGTGTCAGACTCTTACTGACTAAAAAGCCCCCGTTCCTTCTCTTGATCTGGGCTGAGGCCGCGGTGACTCATTGCGCTTGACCCGCAACCTCGGCTATCCGCCTTGGGCTAGCGTGGTGATTAATGCTCAAACCTTTTCCCTATGAGAAAAGGCCTTTGTTCAGCAGTGGTCACTTATAGGCTGATCATGTATGATGTCTATAGCTATGTTGTCCTGTCTATACATTCTTACACCAGCACAATAATTTCGCAAGCATCTAACTTGTGAAGCGACATGTTATTTTGTCAAACAATACACGGAAACATGTTCGTTGTCACGCTCATTAAATTCTTTCACCATTTTAAATGAAAACAACATAAAAATAGTGACAAACAGTCCTAGCGTTTTGTGCGAGCATCACAGTTTATTGGCTCAATTAAAAATGTGATTCGAAATGTTCAAAATGTCAAAAGTGTCCGTTTTTCTATGTATATTGATAATATCGGTGAGATGTGAAGATGTGCGGAAAAGGAGGGAAGGAAGATCGGGAAAGTTGTTCACTTTTAACACTCTTAACGAGGATATAAAGGTAATTCGATATTTGATTTGAAATACTCCATATAATATTGGAAAAACTATAGAAAGTTGAAAAAGAAATTCTAAAGATTCGGTCTTCTAAGTAACAAGTTATTCAGAACTTTGATAACGTAGGAAAAAGATATCATTACACATTTTTTTATTGTCATTAAAGGACAGCATTTTAAATTGCAACCTTATTACCTATGGCCTCTTTTGTTTCTCCCATTAGGTATTAATCCTTTTATCGTATTCATTAAATAAAATATATATTTTCTGAACTGTGTGACAACGCCATCACTGGGTGCAAGCCTGATGTTATTTTGTTGATTTTAAATGAATAAAAAAAATACGAGTCGAATTGAGAACCTCCTCCTTTTTTGAAGTCGGTTAAAAAGTTAGGAATGAATTGCAATAATCTGCATTATATATATATAATGGAATAAACTCCCAAAAAATGTGATAAAAGCACCCACAGTTAATTCTTTTAACAATAAAAACAGACTCGACAAAATCTCCAAATCCATTAATACGCACGCATCAGCTTTCTAAGCTGCGAGTGTGTTCAAGTATATAATAATAATAATATTTATTTTGACATAGATTCTTGTAAAGTTTTAGTACTTACTGTAAAACGTAATGAGGTAATTAGAGATATAGAAAAGGGTTGTATAAATGTTGTATATTTTAACCCCTCTTCTATGTCTATTTACCTCATTTCGTCGTAATTAGCTGCAATTTCATAAAAAAAGTCAATAAGTACACAAAAAAACTCCTTTTCATCCCTAATTTCAGATAGATCTGGACTTTACAGTCCCATTTTTAAGTATACCTGTGAAGAAAACAATGAACTCGGCGTTTGGACTATTGGTATGTCATTTTAAATTTAATATCAGTTTCTGTTGTATATTTTTTTAATTTCGAATGACTAAGGCCTGATTTTTCAATAGTCAGATAAATGTTATCTGAGGAATAAAATTGTTGCCGTCACTGTCTTTTACATACATTCTGACGCAATAGCATCTATTTATCTATCCTCAGGTACTTTTATCTCTATTATTTTATCTTTTTTTAATGTTATGTTTTTTTTTAATGTATAAGGGATTGGTAAAACCTTATTGATATTTTTTTTATTTCACAAAATAATATATGGTTAATTGATAAAAAAATTATCGATTTTTTTCCAATCCTTTTTCGTATCTCCTATGTACTATGATAAGCTGCGCAGTACACAATTTTGTTCCTAAAAGATCCATTGCGCAGAAAAACGGCTAACTTCAGACTCGCCAAGATACGTCGGCCGTACTGTAAACATCTCTTTAATAATATTTATACCCACTTTCATTGTATGGTTTGCCAGGATTTTCCGACGATAAACATCAACCCAGCTTCCTTGGCTTTGGGTGGTGCAGTTGTACTTGGAACCAGTATTGCTGTACCCTTTATCCTTAAGTATTACGCTAATGAAGGCAACGAACGATACGGCAGAAGTAAGTTAATATTTATTGAATCACTTGCGGCCCTTCGCTGCTCCGTCTTTTTTTATGTAATTGGTCGGCAAACGAGCAGACGGATTACCTGATGGTAAGCAATCAGCGCCGCCCATGGACACGCGCAACGGAGGAGTTACGAGTGCGTTCCGACCTTTTAGGGATTAGGGATTTAGAGGTTTAGGGATTGAGGAGGGATTGGGGGCGGGGAAGGATTGGGCCTCCGGTAACCTCACTCACAAGGCGAAACGCCGGTCTTCTGTGAGGCCGTGGTATCACTCCGGTCGAGCCGACCCATTCGTGCCGAAGCATGGCTCTCCCACACTTAAGGGGATCCGTCTAAGTCATCTAAGCTAGAGTAAACGGCACATTAGCATTAGCCAAGGCTTCATTGTATTCTTAGCTCTCCAAAGCCCAATGAAAAACAAAACAAAAGCAAATAAATTATAAACTTTATTACAAACGCCAATAAAGTTCTCCGATATATTTTTTTTGCTATATTATTAAACAATATTTTTCAAGATGATTTAAAGACTCCACTTAATAATCCAATTTAACTTCAATTACAAACAAGCACTGATCGATTTAAGAACTGTATGGCATTTATATTAGAAATCTAGTGACGAATATTCAGTCTACACCAAAACATAAAAAACCGGTGTTAGCTACACACAAGGACCACAGCAAGTCTTTTTAGAGATTCTTTTCCTCGGTCGAATTGATGCGCAGGATCTCTTACACTTTGGTTTCGGTGGTGGTGGTGGTGGTGGTGGCGGTGGCTCCACGATACCAGCGTCTGCTGGTATGTACTGCGTTTCCACGTGAATGTACGTTTTTCGTTTTCTGGGCGCCAAATCGAAGCACCCAAATGGCGGCGTGTACTCTATATCCCACGTTGCGTTACTCGATAAAGAGCTCAGTGACTCCTCTTTACAAATACACTCGGGCTCTTTAAATGCTGGACAGCTGTCGATGACTCGATCTATCGCAGTCAGGTCGTTGCAGTAGACGTCCATGTAGGCACACTTGCATATATCCTCAACGGCCTCCGCCAGAGCCTTACGGATTTCCGCATCACGCTGTTTTTTTAATTTCACCATTTTTCTCGCTTCGACTTTAGCTTGTTCTTCTGGACTTCGTTTCTTTATAATTTTGAAAACCATCGGATCACAGTCTACGTACGGATCTTCGTTGGGCAAAATTTCAGTCAAGTCTTTTAGTGGTGACACCTGAAATAATCATAAAAGTAACAAAAGTTATTTGCTACCGACAAATTATTTAAGTTCAGTTAGTTCGTGGCATTATCACTTAGAAGGAAAAAGACCTTTACCTGTATAGTAAAAACATCGCCCTTCCTTTGGACCTTGAGTGCAGGTTTTGGCTCCAACGCCTCTTCAGGTTCGGAATCTCCCCCACCGATATCAGCACCCGGTCTATTCCCTTTCTTTTTCTTCTTCTTGTTTTTGTCTTTATCGGTACCACCGCGTGCAAATTTAAACGTCATCGTCTTTGCCACACTTTTTCCAATGACGCCTGGTGACCAACCGCGGCGAACAGACTAAATGTATGAAATAAAAAACGTGTGATGAGAAACGCTAGTAGAATCATCATTGGTTTAAGAGGTACATATTTGGCACAAAGAACACCATAACACAATTTTTATTGAAATAATCACTAGAGGAAGCAAATAGAAGTTCTTGTGCATAAACTGAACTTTAAATACGCCTAGATACCGTTTAACCCAAGCTGTGTCCTTTTTACAGGAGGAAAAATCATCTAAGGGCTTCTCTCACCTAGGGTGGGGCCGAGACGGAATATCAGACTCTTATTAACTAAAAACCATCCCGTCCTCGCCCTCATTCCGCCCTCTCCTACTTCTGGCTAAGACCATGGTGCCTTATTGCGCTTGATCCGTATATAATAATGTATTCGGCCCAGATTAGCGAGAAGAAACGAATTGGTTCTTAGTCAGTAGGATTCTGACAGACTTCCGCCAAATACTGCAGAAAGTTTATTTATATACGTTTAGTAACAAATAGAGTACCTTCATGCCTGGCACGTCTGTCGCATTCCATAACCAGCCCATAGTGGGGGGTACTTGCAGGGCTGGTCTGGTGAGAAGACAAGTCTTGTGCCCGATACATACTCCTAGGAAAAACAATGGTTTATCATATAATAAATATTTTATTACTAACTTAAATATTTGTCATAATTTATTATTTACGTTTTAATTCAAGCCGGTTATTGTGCTTGTAGTGTTTGCCTTTATGTGATTGTTACACTCGCAAATGTATTTTTCGTTTATATTATAATATTCTTTTTAGTGTAAACGATTGTTGGCAAGCCTATAATAAATAAAATAAAAAAAATATATCGATAATCTTATGCCTTACAAACTACTAAATGGATTGTGTCAATATTTTCGTTTAATTATAGCAGATAATAAAATATTTATGTAATAACTAATAACAAATGAAACAACCATTAAAACTAGGTTGCAAGGCAAGGCTGAAAAATTTGTAAATTTGAACGTACTAATCTTCGAAACCGCTGGTTCAAATTGCGAGTGTAGCATACTCCATTTAAAAGCAAAACTGTGGGCTACAAAACATCATGCTGCGACCAATAGGAATCAAGCAGCGGATTATACCGCGTAGGACGTAATTTATTAATAATTAGGAATACAATAAAATTACCTGGATAAAGGTCGCCAAAACTATAATTGTATTTTGAAGAAGAATTCTTCTTTTTCTTCTTCTTGTCTGTTTCATTCTCCTTTTCTTCTTCTTTTTCCTGCATTCTGCTTCAGGTACTTAATAAAAAAAATGCTTAAAAAGTTATGAGAATAATTAAAATGATTATACGAGCCATAGCAAACACTAAATCTATCAACAAATTGTTTCTAAAATGTGGCAATGCCTAAACTCATTCTAAAAGCCTGTTAAAAACGAAACAATAATATCAGTTGTATAAAAGATATAATCAGGTTACAAAATAAAACATCAATGATATTATTCTTCCTTCTTTTCTTCTGCAAATTTGTCTTGAATAGCCATTTTATGTGAACCACAGCAGGATTTTCCAATTAGCGTCATCAGTACTTGTTCTTTATCACAACAGCGTCTCTCTGTGTCTATATTAAATTTGTTGATGCAGCGGTAATCTTTTTCTGTTTCAGTTTTCAAATACATCTTTATAGCCTTCTTTATCCTTTCGTATTCCTTGGAACAGCACACTTTACCTTCTTCGCTGTAACTGTATGGTTCGGTTGGTAATTGAGCATTTCTATACATTCTGGCAAAGCCATCAGGCACTGTACATGGTCTTCCTAAGATGGGACATGGGCCTAGTTGAATCGGTGGTAAGCCGTATGGCAGCGGAGCTACTTCTTCTTCATCTTCTTCATTCTTCTTTAGTTCCTCCTCCTCGTTCATCATAGTAACAGGACAATTCACTTTGTGCTTATACAATGGACAGTACGGCTTATGTAACTTCCTAGCAGCTATGTTTTCTGTTTCAGTTAGACAATCACAATCAAAAGTTTTACAAGGCGGGCCCGGTTTTTTAGGATTGCATTTGCAATCTTTATCCTCGCCTGCATCGGAGCCATTAAAACCTTGCGTTTTTCGCTTAGGATCTGCATTGGAGCCTTGATTACATGTCGTCCCTACGCCTAATGTTACGGCTGTTGACATCCTTATACTGTGTCTAGGAGCACTAACTTCAGCATTGTATGTCATTGGGTTATTGTTCACTACGCTATACATCGTAGACATACTTCCCATGGTTTTCGTTGTTCCTGATTGACGACAACTATACTCATCATTTGAAGATGGGCAAGGGTCTTGACGAGCTTTGTTGTCATCATCAACAGAATTATTAAACTTTTTACAAAAACAATTTTCGACTATAGTTTCTTGTCCAAACAAGCTTTTTTTGTCATCTCGAAATTTTGGTACACTAAAAACGTAATTAATTTGCGTGGTACTCGTTTTCGGAGTCATTCCTGTACCATAATGTTTATTTAGTTTATCTTCACAGGTGTTACCAGGCATGGTCATTCCTGCACAACCTATGCATCTGACCTTCCGGTTCGTTATTTCCGGACAGCTGTCTCTGTGCCACCGATCATCTTTGCAGATACATTTTCCACATATTTTTTTGTCTTGATTCGTCTTCGTAAACACAATACCAGATGCTTTCGCCTTATAGGTATCCAAAGCTCTGATGTACTTCCTGACCTTATGTGCTAAAGCACAATTGGTGTTACCACATGGGCCTCTAATTTCACCCATTTTTATCTTGTCTATTGCATATTTCTTAGAAGTTGTTGATTCTGTAGCAGTGTGTTCACACACGTATTGATCTGCTTTCTTCTCCATACCACAGCTTTGCAGTTCAGTACATACTTCAATCTTATTTTGTGCTCTATCAACAATTTCTGGGTCTTCTAACGTAGTAGTCTCATACAAAGAACCAACCATACAAAAGTTGGGGTCATCACCTTCTACTCTTTTGCATTCAAACATACTCGGTGCCTTATTAGTCCTAAACACAAAAGATTCTGGATCTTTCATAAGTTGTTGAAATTCCGTAATTATGGTGTTTCCTAAAGCACTCAAACGAAGAATAAAATCAACCTCGCCAATTTGCTTGCAGCAACATTCAGCCATCAGGGGTACTTTGGTTTTAATTGACAACGGTTCATGTACCTTGCAGGAATCTTTTGTTTCTTTCAACATAAGAAAAAACTTGGTATCCCAGTGCATATTGCCAACTCCAATGAACATATTGTTTTCAAGTTCAGTCTCATCGTCGTTCCAAACTTCTACTTCTAGTGGAAATTTGCTTAATGTTTGAAGTATCGTGTCAGGATGTGCAGGGAAAAGATAAGATTTACCAACTCGTATAGTTCTCGTCCATTGTCTGCGACCAGTTTTCTCATCAATTTCGATGATATCGTCTGGTCTATCGACTACTGCTAATTGGCCTTCCTTGACTATAAATTGCACTTTAGGTCCAAAATTTATTTTAATAATAAGGTTCTTATTTCCGGTGCTTTCTTCATCATCCTTTGCGAACACGGTCACTTTGTTTATGAATATCTCAATCAGGTACATTTGCTCCATGACCTGCCGAGTTCAACATTTTTGTGTCAGAATATTCACATCATTTCTTGTAACTGAAAGGCGAGGAGATTTCGCGATGCCTTTAAATAAGGTCATTTTTCAAAGTAAACAGAAGTTATCTTTAACTATGGATGCTACCAGCTTAAATGTATGAAATAACTTTAACAAACGTGTGTCAACTTCATAAAACGCACAAGAAATATGAAGCACTGCATTTTTGCCAAATACTCAAACGATGCTCAAAATCTGTCCAATACCAATGTAATTTTAAACTAGAATACCATTGCCTTAGCAGAAGAAAGATGACATGAAATCCAATTAAGAAAGGAAATTAAGAATACCGGAATTTCATTCATTGAAAATATACTTACAGTAAATTCTATATAGTTTTCTTAAATTATGTGAATTAGATCATTACTATTAACACTGATAATTTTATTTTGTAACCCGAAAGCGTGTTACCTTTATCTTTTATACTACTGACATATTATTGGCATTTTGCGATGCTTGAAAATGGAATCATAACCAACGCGATTTTTTTTAGAAAAAACATCTCTGTCATTTGACCAGCTTATAAAGCGTCCGTAACGTATACTCTTTGGTTCAGTAAGGGTTTTGTGACCAAAGTAATAGATATCAGGTAAATAGGTTAGCAGAATTTACAAAATAAAGGTATTTAAAATAGCTTCCGCACGCGGTTCCACCCGCGTGGTATGTTTATAAAAATCGCCCATCTATATAATAAATTTTAACCAAATCCATCCAGCGGTCTTGGGTAAAAGGATAACCAACACACATCCATAGGTACATCCTCGCAAACTTTCACATTTATCATATTCATAGGATATCCTCAGGATGGCGCAACGGCAGAACTCTCCAAATTAAACAGAGCAATCCAGGCAAGTTGTCGCCGCGACAAAAACAACTTCATTGAAAGTATTTGCAGCGATATTGAAAGTCATTCTAACAAGTTGCAAACTGCAGACCTTTTCAAGAAAGTCAGAGTTCTTTCCAGGCAGTTCAAGGCTAAATCATGGGTAATAGAAGATTCGGACGGCACTGTTTTACACGAACTCGACCGTATTGCTGAGAGATGACGCGCATACTGTGAGCAGTTGTACGCGGATCCTCACGTTGCGCCAAATGCAAAAACGGAATGGAAAGATCTAGAGCTGGAACCCATGATTTTGCCCTCTGAGGTAGCCACTGCATTAAGGTCTTTGAAAAGGAAGAAGGCCCCAGGAAGCGACCAAATCACGGCAGAGATGCTTGGTGCTTTGGGAGATTTGGGTGTTAAGACACTTTATAACATCTGTGCACATATCTGGCAGCACGGTGATTGGCCGCCGGATTGGTCTGAATCCGTCATTTTACCACTGCATAAGAAGGGATCGACTAAAGACTGTGGCAATTACCGTACTTTGTCCCTCATCTCACATGCCAGCAAAATCTTGCTCCACATCATCAATAACCGCATCCGTTATTACCTGGATTGGCAAATCCCGCAGGAGCAAGCGGGTTTCGTTAAGGGCAAAGGTACGCGTGAGCAGATCCTCAACATCAGGCAGGTTGTTGAGAAAGCGTATGAATTTGATACGCCAGTGATAATGTGCTTCGTCGATTACAGCAAGGCATTCGACTGTGTCAACTGGAGTTGTTTATGGAAGGTCCTACAAGAACTCGGAGTGCCGCATCATCTCGTCGCTCTATTAGGCAGGCTTTACAACTCAAGCCAGGGAGTTGTAAGAGTCGAGACCACAACCTCCAAACCTTTCAAATTGAAACAAGGTGTGCGTCAAGGTTGTATACTATCGCCCATTCTATTTAATGCCTACGGGGAATACATCATGAGACGTACCTGCGAGAACTGGGAGGGTGGCATCGCAGTTGGCGGCGTAAAACTCACAAACCTGCGGTACGCCGATGACACCACCCTACTCGCAGCAAACGAGTCGGAAATGGTTGCGCTCCTGGGCCGAATGGAGCAGATAAGCGAAGAGATGGGACTTTGCATAAACAGGTCCAAAACAAAGCTAATGGTGGTGGATAGATCCGGAAGATTGGAACTCACCGGCGCTTTGGATTTAGCAGTGGTGGACAACTTTGTCTACCTGGGTTCCAACATTAGCAATAACGGTTCATGCGAGAGAGAAGTGCGCAGGAGAATCGGAATGGCTAAGGGTGCCATGACCCAGCTTGGGAAAATATGGCACGATCGAAACATCTCCACTAGGACCAAAACCAGGCTGGTGCGGACCCTGGTCTTTTCGATCTTCTGTTACGGTGCGGAGACATGGTCTCTTAGGGCAGCGGACCGCAAACGAATTGACGCCTTTGAGATGTGGTGTTGGAGGAGGATGCTCCGTATTCCCTGGACGGCATTTCGAACCAACGTCTCAATTCTGCGTGAACTCAAGATCTCCTCACGACTGTCATCCGTGTGCCTTCGTAGAGTCCTTGAATACTTCGGTCACATTGCATTGCAAGAAAAGATTGCAAGAAAAGAGGGAAACAACCTGGAGAGACTCATTGTGACCGGAAAAATGGAGGGGAAAAGGCCTCGTGGTCGCAGCCCGATACGTTGGTCCGATCAGATCCGCACCACTTTGGACTCTACCATCCACGGCGCCCTTCACACCGCCAGAGACAGAATTGGATGGAGGAAGATCGTACGGGAGGTCACGACCCTCAGCAATGAGGAATGCGAAGCAAGGAGAGAGGATATCCTCAAATCACTTGTTGGCTGTAACAGGGTTTAAACTGATGATAATATTATGTTAATAGGTTAATAGTCACAAAATAACTCAAATGAAATACTCAGATTTTTAGAACTACCCTCAAGAACGCGAACGTCGTGGTCGTAATAGATATTCAAAAATATAATTCGAACGAGCCACGTGCATTTTTTGCTGAAATACTAGCGGCCCTAACTCGTAACCTTCTCGCTAACAACGAAAGGATCAATTTTTCGCACTTTTCCCCTCTTCTTCAATATTTCCTTTAATAAGAACCTTCCCCTCACAAAAAACTGACATACAAAAACAAAAAATTTAAAGGCGTTTTAAAGTTATGCGTTTACCAACACATTTTTCGATTCATTGTTATAAATATCAGATGTAGATATTATACTTTTCATAAGTGGACCTTTATTGAAAAGCTTTCAAGGACATGTTTCAAAAATCGTTTTAAATTTTATTAAGTTTTAGATAACGCGGAATTCAGTGCTGATGCTGTTTTGGAGTTCGCTCACCAAATGCTGTCAGGCAGCCATGGACTCCGAGGATGTCCGCTCAGAGTGGCTTGCTGGGCAGCTCAGCAAGAATATGCTAACCCTAGAGACATTATCAATCAAATCGTGAAGTAAGTTAATAATAAATTCGGTTTCTACTACAGTTCATAATTTTACTCATATGCAGTATTTTAAAATGAAACTTATCAGTTGGGTGACACACCAACCAAATTTAAGCAGCTCAAACATATTTAAAAAAAAAAAAGACGTTGCCCCGCTCTAGGATTTTCTCCTGTGTCGTGGGTGCGTTTACAAACATACAAATTCACATACACATCACACCCAGACCCGCAACAACAATTTGTGGATCACACAAAGAGTTGTTCCGTGCGGGAATCAAACCCGCGACACGTTGCACAGCAGCCAGTTGCCCAGCCACCGCGCCAACCATGCAGTCACATGCACACACAAACATCATTCTAACGGATCAATTTTTAATCATTTTCCAGCAACAAACTTCTCGCATCAATGGTGAATTCTTCGGCTGTGGAAGACGCGATGATCTCCGGAAGACACGGACGCAGCTGCAGCAGTTACGGGCCATGCCCTCTTCAGGAACATCATGTACCAATGCTAATGTCTAACCTCGCTATATTGACTAATACACCTGGTTTCAAATAGCATTTTGGGACTTTGTGATTTGTCCCAAAAAGGGCACTTAGGTACTCGTTCCTCGCTCAGTTCCTCGGGTCGAAAAACCCGTTTAGATAAGTTTAAACAAACTCCAAATTGTTCTTTAGGTACCTAAAAGAAGTTTTAGAATAAATCAGAAACTGACTCTAAAATCTTTAGATTTGCTTTGCACTGAAAAGTGAATACAAATAGGTCTTGTAAATAAGTTATTCTATAGATAGTCAGGTATATCCTACTTTAAAATATTGTTCATTCCGATTGGGTAGCTTTTTGGTGAAAATGATTTTTATTTCAAATTTTCAAAACTCAAAATGTTCACAATTTCATTCGTTTAATTGATTGTATACCTTTGTTTTCATATTTTTCTAGCAAATCCACAGGAATAAGTATATAACGCAAAAATAAAATAATGTCACAACTAGGTATGTCAAGTAAAAACATATGTATATGTATGTTTATCACTTGAATAATTGGAAAGATTCCTATTAATAAAATCTAAGTTATTTTAATTTTAAGTTACCTATATTAAAACATATTTTCGTTAAAAAACCGATTTTAATAAATTATACAACAAAATACAATAAAAGGTTAGGAAAAAATTTACAATTTCTGATCGTATTATTTAAAGTAACTGTATGACAATACTTTTTCAAATTTTTGTTCAAAAGTATCTAATTTATTTTATAATAAAAAATATCCCTGTTTCGTTTGATCAAAATGCAATGTATTTAATTATTAAAATAAATATTTAATTATTCATCGAACTAATTTCTTTGAATACTTACCTAAATGTACCTAACACACTTGGTAAGACATGTTTTAAACTTTATTACCCCACTTTAGTACTTTTTCCTGCGTCGTGGTTGTCTTTACAAACATACAACTTCTTAAAAACATTACACCCAGACCCGAAACGACGATTCTTAGATCACAGAACTGTCCGTGCGGGAAGCGAGCCCGTACCTACCTAACACGTTGCGCCGGCGGTAGCCGGTCGACCAGCGACCGCGACAATTATGGAATTTAGATAGTCCCATTTATAACAAACGTACAAAGGAAAACACATTTACATCAAATATAACACAGTTACATCCAACACACAGCATGTTTTATATAGTCGTTATTTTGGTTCAAAAAGCACTACAGTTTGGCCACATTTTTCACATTCATAGCCATATTATCTATATTAAAATTAAAACCATATTTTACATATAAATAGAACAATTCAAATCTACTAATTTCAACTTCAACATATCATAATAAAAGATTCACAAAAATCGCGCAACTATGGCGCTGCAATGTTTTTTGATTCAAAAGAAATACTTTAGTGGTTCAATGTGAGCTCAATAGATGGCGTTATGTGTAATCTAGCAAGATGTCGGTTAAACCAATCACAGTAGCCTTCAAAAATTGAACGTCCAATGGCGTACACTAGCTAACTTTCTATTGAACGAAAACACGTAAAATCCACACTCTACATATCTTTGGTGCTTTGCATGCATATCTGGTAATAAATAAGTGATTTTTCTTTGTTTTAAACCAGTGCCATCTGGTGAGCAACAAAAACGATAGCTCCAATTGACGAGATTTTAATGGAAATATGTGACGAGGCTTCTCCTGTTGAGCTTCAAGACATAATCTGCTGGACTGTGGCCCAGGACATCCTTAGCTTCCTTATCCACACCCTGTTTGAGAAGGAATTCTGCTGCTTCAGGTCGATTACAGAGCACGGCCTGCGGAAAATTCATGATAGTATCAGCTACTTAAATGCTAGAATTTATTAGTAATCTATCCCTTCTCCTTCCACAGGTATCATAAGCAAGCATTGAGGCAATGGCAAGCCCTCACCTTTTTTACATAACCTTTTTTTATTATCTGCATCTTAATCGATATCCAGCGACACAATTTTTAAAGTAAGCCTCAATGTTATGTATCACAAAAAGCCACCAACAAAACAGTATACGATTGGTGATGGGAACATTTACTAATTCTCGTCGAATATTAGTATGATTGCAATAGACACATGATTTTGAATCAAAGATACAAAATGTGACTATGATAATATTCCTAACAGATTATTTTGACGTTTAAAAACAACTGTATATTACACGAGTATCCCTTATACTCTAGAATATAAATAAAAAAAAGTTTTAAAAACTTAGATATCAATAATGAATACCTTATGTAATGGCGTCTGTCGAAGCTCATCAACTATATCGAACTTGGCGCCTGCTAGCCTCAACGACTCCAGTTTAGATATGGAACCAGTTCTGATAGCTGTGGTCATAATTTCTGACACGGGGTATATGTCGGCACTGGCCAAGTGAGCTCCACACTTCAGTAGTAAGTTGATAATCTGAGGATCTTCGCGTAACACTGCCGTGATGAGAGGACACTCGCCAGTTCTGTTTTAAAAGAGTAGGTAGATTTATTTATTTATTTATCTAATAAAGGTTTACCAACAGCTTCTGTGTAGATAAGACTTAAAGTATTTTTTTTTTTAATTACTGGGACTTACACAGTTGCCAATTGGTTAACCAACATTCACAAAATTATGATACAATAAGTACCAACAGAACTAAAATGAGTAACATGTATCGAATATTAGAGAACAATACTAAACTATGCAAACAATGAAACAATTATTATAAACGCAATATAAAGGAAAACAAACATAATCAAATGATGTTACAGACATTTGTACATAAACCAACATTGTAAGAAAATGACAACATTCCTAAAAATACACACCACTATTAACATATTAAAATTTTTGTGAGAACATCGTGAGATCATGAGTTAGACTTAGTAACTAAATAAGTACCTATATATAAAAACTATCATGTAAAATGTATCAAAAAGCTATCCAAGAAGGATATATCTCATGATGTTGGGAAGAAAGTACTTATTTACCTATTTATTATTTAAGTAACAAATTTCATAACAGATTTAACCAAATTCGATAGTGTAGTCTCCCAAAGTATTTACGTATGAACATAATAAAGTCATCTTCGTTAAATTAGAAATTAAAAAAATAATAATTATGCTATATAACATTTGTTCTTGAATCAGAACCAGAAAAGTTTGGTAGTCTTATAAATTACCTTTTCGAAAAAAGAAAAGATTGGAATCGTTTTCAAGATTACTCTGCCTATTTCAAATACAGTAATAGTGATGTTATCTATACTAATATTATAAAGAGGTAAAATTTGTAAGTTTTTATGTCTGTAAGTTTGTATGTAGGGGGCAATCTTGGGAAGCGCTGGTCGGATTGCCAAAATTCTTTCACTGATAGATAGCTACAATGTTCCTGAGTGCTATAGGCTATAAAACATCACGCTACGATCTGTAAGAGCCGAGCAGTGGGTGAAACCGTGCGAGAGTAGCTAGTTTTTTTTATATTTAAAGAAACATTCGTTACATACCTGGTCTTGAAATGCACGTTGGCGCCATTCATGAGTAAACACTCGACCATTTCATGGTTACCCGTTAGAATAGCTTCATGAAGAGGAGTCTTGCCTTCCGAATCTTCCGCATTAACATCCGCACCCATATCTGTCAAAACACAACGCAGTCAATTCACGTGAGTAAATCGTCATTTTGAATACTAATACTAATTGTATAAAGGGGGTGATCTTCGGAACTGCGGGTCGGATTTCGAAAATTCTTTCTCTGATAGATGTTCCCGAGTGCTATAGGCTATAAATTGATTTGCGTATTTTCGTCGAGTTAGTTTTTCAATAAACTGGGTAAAGAATATTTGCCTAAATGTGTCACGTTGCTCTAAAATAAATTTCCAAACAAATCGAAGTGATAAAGTCAGTTTGGTGTGAAACAAAAAATAATTTACTAAAATAATAATGATAAGACTAAGTTTAAAGGAAAATGGAAAGTTGAGTAGTGTCCTCCAGCCTTATGGGGACCCGAAATTACTTGAACAAATACAGGGAAAAGAAGAAGACTATAAGAACATACGATATCTACTCCTAAAAGGATGCAAAAATCGCATTACCTAACAGTTTTCTGACGATGACCTCGTCTCCTTTCTTGATGCCGTACAGCAGCAGGGAAGAAAACACGTTTGCAACCACTTCTGCCAGTTTCTTTGGAGACTGGATGTTCAAACTAACGCCCAGAGCCTCCTTAAGCGTTTGATCCTAGAACACAAGAAGGATTATTTTTTAACAGGTCTTGGGAACTTTCTTATAAAAAACATAGAAATTACTGTTTTATTTTAATGTCATTTAAATGGTGAAACGCGCTAATAATAACTAACGCGCTATGGTAATGTGGATGGATGGAGAGGGAGGGGGAGACCAAAGAAAATATGGATGGATTGTGTGAGAAGTGATATGGAAGACAGAGGAGTTACCGATAGCGTGACGAGTGACAGGGCAGAATGGAAGAAAAAAACCTATTGCGCCGACCCCAAATAAAACGGGACAAGGGCAGGGAGATGATGATGATATGGTCAAACGCGCAGGCGGATAACCTGATGGTAAGCAATCAGCGTCGCCCATGGACTTGTTATACCAAAGGAGTTACGACCGCCCCTAAGATGACCCACTGACCCGTTGCCGGCCTCATATGGGTTATTAGGGATATGAGGATTTAAAATGGAGGGAAGGATTTTTAATGAACGAACTGCGCAAAGAATTCTTTAGAGCTAATTTTATATATACACACTTACCTCAATAGACATAGAAGATAGATTTGTAAGTTCTCCTCTTATGTTCAAGCACATCATCTGTAAATATTAACATTTGTCAAGCAAAAACAAATCATCATTACATCACACAGTTCATTAAAAGAAAAAGCCTAAGCTTTTATATGGGGCTGATGTTATGACTTCTTTCAAACTCGTTTGGCAGAGGGGATGTCAGACGCTCACTATAAAAAAAACCACCCCGTTCCTTCTGCAGCTCCGAGCCAGGGCCGCGACCCCAGGCCTTAAATAAATACGTTCCCAGTCAAGAGCAAGCAATACACTTAATAGAATTACGTTTTTCTTAACTTTACAATCTGTCAACAATTTTGCTATGAGTCCTAAAGAACAATTTATTTTTCTATCTCTATACTATGTCTTACTCATAAACGTAACGTAACTCACATCGACTTTCTGTTGGTAAGATAGTTCAGTCTTGGTGAGCACGTAAGAGAGCTTGGTGAGGGCAGCCTCAGGCGTCATGTCGTAGCCTGATATCACTCCTGCCTTTGCTATTGCCTGTGAAGAAAAACTGTTTTTAAAATAAGTTTTGGAGAGCCAAGCTTCAGCATGAATGGTTCGGTTCGACCGGGGTGATACCACGACCTTACAGAAAACCGGCGTGAAACAACCTCAGCGTTCTTTCGTCGTGTGGGTAATCGGAGGTCCACTGCCTGCCGCTACCCCGTCCCTTCCTATTTCTTAAATCACATCATCATCAGCCTGTAAGTTTACTGAGCAAGTACCTCTTCTTACACGGAAAAGATTTGACCATTAATCACGCTAGTTTAAGGCGGATTATCAATTTCAAACTTGTTATTAGAAAACATAAGTCCAGCTTTCCTCACGATGTTTTCCTTCACCATATGTCATTAGTGTCTGAATAATCTTAGAAAGTACATATAACTCACATTGGCCCCCACGACTTATATGTACTTATGTATGTTACGTTGTTATGAATGTAGAGAAGATGAAACTACTATTATTGAGAGTATAATACTATTTTCTCATTGACAACAACTTTGGCGCGAAGTTCTTTATCTTAACCTTTTTTTATTAGAGGTTATCTTCAGTTAAAAAGGCCAATGTTATAACAGGAAATTACCGTCTCACACGGTGACTTTGATTTCATCATAACATAACCTCATTTTATTTTTAAAATACTTATAATACTTTCGTAATAATTCGATTGTAGATAACAGAACTGACCAAATAGTCGCACGTTTTATCTCCAGAGCAAAATTATTTTTAGTGATTGTACCTACAATGACGTGACTAAAAAGACTAACGTCGTGGTACCCCGGATATTAAGGCACCCGTTTCTCATACATGAGGGTTCAGAATCTAGCAAGTATCAATGTGACTTTTTCTGAGTTATATGTACTTTACTTTTTTCTAATTTAGACACCACTGACACACGGTGAAGGAAAACATCGTGAGGAAACCTGGACTTATAATTTCTAATTATACGTTTGAAATCGCCCATCCGTCTTGAGCAAGCTTAGAGATTAATGCTCATACATTCTCCGTGTGAGAAGAGGTCTTTGCTCACCAGTGGGCCCTTATAAGCTGATGATGGTAATGATGATAATGATGAAGTAAAACGAGCTAACTAATAGCAACTATCGACACTGTCCTCAAAATCAGGTAAATACCTCAGAATGTCTCAAATTTTTTTTTATTCTTTTTTTTTTATAAAAGTTGCCCTACTATAGGATTTTCACCTGTGTTGTGGGTGCGTTGACAAACATACAATGTCACATACACATGACACCCAGACCCGAAACAACATTTGTGGATCTCACAAAGTGTTTTTCCGTGCGGGAATCGAACTCGCGACACGTTGCACGGCAGCCAGTTGCCCAGCCACCGCACCAACCGTGCAGTCAAATTTTATTGATTATTGGTCCGCCCTTGACCGCTTTCTCACCTGAAGGAAATATTTAATTTCTTCTGAATATCATCATTTGACTGAAAATGAAGAAAACGACTTCTACTACATCCGAACGCCAAATGCATAGAGATGGCTTCGCGAGGTCGCTTCGAGCCATGCGTTGTGACTTCAATCTAGTAGACCTTTTCTCACTTTACACCCGTTAGTACTTAGTCATATTCAGTATATTAAGTATGTCTCAGTATAGTTACTATACAAAAATTTACAGTTTACGCTTGGTAGTGGATGGAAACAGGCTTATTTTTATGATGACTGCTACCTAAAACGCAATACGCTTCGATTAAAATACTCTAAAATATAAGGCCTCTTAAACCTGTACTAGTTTTTTCTCTATAGGTTCATTATATTATTATCTCACCTGACCAGTTTTATAAAGCGCCGCTACTGCACCTGTAGCGCACTGAGTTATGTTAACAATGATGACTCCTCTCTTCACAGCTTTTTCTATCACTTCTAGAATGTCATGCCTAGTCGCTGGAACATTGCCAGCGCCATACGTCTCCATTACCAGACCTACGGGGTACATCAGAGAAAAATATTATGTTTCGTTTTCCTCATTGCTGAGGTTATAATATTTCTTCATTATAATTTTTGTGATATTTTACATCTAAGGGCTGATTTTTCAATAGTCAGATAAATGGTATCAGAGGGATAAAAGTTGCTGTCACTGTCTTACATAAACATTCTGACGCGACAGCATCATGATTATCCCGCAGATAACTTTTATCTAACCATTGAAAAATCAGCTCTAATTGAGTCTATGTATATGAAGTAAGTAAGTTGGTAGTGTAAAATGATCGTTATAAATTTTATTTATGACAACGCTAAACAGACATTTGGCGCTCCCATGGACACGCTCTAGAAGGTCAAAATGGCCGTTTAAGGATTGGGTAGGTCATGGTATGAATTTGGAAAGTCACCTAAATCTTCTAACTGAACATATTTGTTAGAAAATACCAAATAATCCACATTCAAACAAAATATAGCCATCAATAACATATCAATCATAAAGAACTTCAACTCACCTTGGATGGGATGCTGGCAAGCAGATTTCACAGCTTCTGTGCTGATGCTGGGGAACAACCTAAGATGAGCAACGTGCTTTGACATCTTGGCGTGGACTTGGAACTTCTCGATGACAGTGGGCTTGAAGATAGCAGACTTATTTACCTCCATTTCCAGCCCAACCTTTACGATTGGTACAGCGTTGGGAGAGTCAAATGCGAACAAATTGTTCACGGATATTTTCCGCGTTCTGAAACAGCAGAGCAGAAATCGATTTTTTTCGCATTTCAACTACCTTATTTGTATTTGGAACAACCAAAATGTCTTCTAATCAATCCACACAAAGATGCACTCTGAATAACTTTAGCTTTAGACAGTATTTCATTGTATTTTACCAAAATGTTACTTTAAATACCCTACGTTAAAAAATGCCATTAATTTTGTCTTTTGTCAACCAAACGAGTAAGATTGCAATACATCGACTTCTAAAGTTATACCAAGCATTCTTCTTGTTTGTACTGTCCGAACAAGCTTGGTAAACTTAATTTTAATCTATGCCGATTACACCCGAATGATTGAAATTTACTTAAAGCGGTTGCAATGCTAGACATCTCCCTTCAGCAACCCACTATGGGATGGCGCATTTTAATTTGACATGTAACGAGTCAAACATACCGGTTTCCCCTGAGCAACTTGCCGTAAAAGAAAATGGTAACTTCAGGGATGTTGTAACCCCCTGCGATAATGAGGGATGACACGAAGTTATCCACGCCATCACTCCGAGGCTCGAAGATTGGAATCTATTAACAAAACATATAATAAATCGTAGTTGTATCTACTTGTACATAATAAATATACATAAAATAGCGATTATGTACCTTAGTGTTTTTTATGTTATAGGTCGGTAAACGAGCTGACGGATTACCTGATGGTAAGCAATCAGCGCCGCCCATGGACATAAACAACGGATGAGTAACGAGTGCGTTGCCGACGTTTTAGGGATTAGGGATTTGGAGATTTAGGGGTTAAGGAGGGATTGGGGGCGGGGAAGGATTGGGCTTCCGGTAACCTCACTCACACGGCGAAACATAACGCTGTGGTTGTTTCACGCCGGTCTTCTGTGAGGCCGTGGTATCACTCCGGTCGAGCCGACCCATTCGTGCTGAAGCATGGCTCTCCCACACTTAGTGTGATAGGCAGACACCACCATCACCATCATCAGCCTAAAAGTGCCCACTGCTGAGCAAAGGCCTCTTATCACACGGGGAAGAATTGAGCATTAATCATAACGCTTGGAAATTATAATGTTTTCCTTCACCGTATATCAATAAGGTCCTTTAAATATTGCCTATGTTTGTCGTTCTGTCCGCATCCGCAAGTATGGTTGGGGAAGTGAGTAGAGGCATCCTACCCCAACAGGTTGATACTTATATCTACCGTAAATCTTCTAGCTTGCAACCTTTCAATATGATCGAATCACAAAAACATTCCTTGTTCAATTCTTGTCAATATATTATATTGTTTTAAATCACATTTTGCCTTGATCACGCTCTTTTTCACTCTATCTGTCAATTTATATTTTTAACTTTCTCTATGCATTTGACAATATAAGTAAACCGCATAATGTCATATTGGCACAGAGCCTTGCCTTGCCTTGCCTTGTCTAATGGGTATTTTACTTGATTGATGTTATTTTATTACAGTGTAGTGGTGCAACACTGGATATCCATTAATTGGTACATTTTCAAGGCCTTAATCGGAATTTGTTGCGTTCAACAATTTTCCTTTCACATGAACGATTTCTTTACTAACAAAGGTTAGTATTTGAATGTTTAAAAGAATATCTCTCTCGCTAGGAATGTTTTGCGAGTCTCGTTGAAACCCGGGATCGAAACCTGACAAGAACCAATGTGGCTTTTCCGAGTTATACTATATGTACTTTCTTTGATTTTATTTGGACACCACTTCTAATTATAAGTTTGAATTCGCGAGTCCGTATTGAGCAAGCGTGGTGATTATTGCTCAAATTTTCTCCGTGTGGGAAGAGGCCTTTGTTCAGTAAGCACTCATAGGCTGATAATGTAATGTAAAATTTTTTTTTTAGAATATTAATCTTCATTTCAGCCCAGTGGAATAAATAGGTAGAAAAACAATGTAATTGTTTGTTTAATAGGCCTTAAAATCTCAATAGATATAATTTAATGGCCATCAATATCTATCTGTACAAGCATGTCACAGCTTCAATTGATTTTATCAGGTCAATTAATGTAATTTTGTAATGATTGAAGAGACGTAGTTTCGTATCTATTATTGTTAATGAAGGTCGCTCTACTTCATAAGCTTGTGGATTTTATCATAAGAGTTTTTTGTAGACAGCTCTTTTTTATGTGATACGACAGCAACGAGCAGACAGACTGACAATACCTAAGTGCGTTTCTGGCCTTTTGAGATTACTGTTTTGGAGATTTAGGGATTGGGGAGGAGAAGAATTGTGCCTCCGGACACCTCACTCCCACAGCTTTGTTTCGCAGTTTCAAAAAAGTATTTACTACAAAAATATGATAAATTATGTTACCTGCGCGAGACTACGGTTTTGCAAATAAAAATAAAAATAAATAAAATAAAAAATACGATTTATTTCGTTATTAATAAAAAAAATTTTAAAATAATAATAATACTTATTAAAATCGATCAATCCAGTTCACTATTTCAAGCCTGGATTGTGTATATGCAATTGAATATTTGTAACCGCACCCACGACACAGGATAAAATAGTAAGGTTTGGGGAATATAATATTTAGAAATTAATATTATTTCTAAATTAACTAACAATAAAGTGTATTAGACTTTGTCTTAAAATATCACTAAGTTTAAACGCCCTCTTCTTATGCATAAGGGTACACTTTTGAAATCTTGCAAGTACCAATGTGATTCAGAGACATATGGACTTACTAACCACTAACACCTATGCCCGGTTTTCGAAAGCCCGATCAATGTTAAAATCAACTAACTAGGTGGCCAATCTCTTGTCAAGTCATCTGATTGGTTGTTGATAATTCAGTCAAACAATCAGATGACTTGACAAGGGATTAAATTGATTTTAACATTGATCGGGCTTTCGGAAACAGGGTGTAAGTGTAGAAAAACATCGCGATCGTGAGGTAACCTAGTTGGTGAATTCTTAATTATTGCTAATTATTAACAATTTTCGATTCATCGACTTGAGCAAACGTGGTTATTAATGATCGTACCTTCTCCCTGTGAGAAGAGGCCTTTACTCAGTAGTAGGCACTTATGATGAAGTTGATGATGATGATGATGTAGTCTCTAGGAAACATACACACAGAGTTGAATCACTACTTTAAGCTACAACGTTTACCTGTGAACCAGTAAGAACTACAGCTTTGCCGAGATTTTCAAACATGAAGGAAAGTGCTGATGCCGTATAGGATAATGTGTCTGTCCCATGGAGTACCACGAACCCATCGTATTGTTCATAGTCAGCCTGCAGTAAAAAAAAACAATAATATTTGAAAAAGGAAAACACTAACGATATTTTTATTTTTTTAGTTTAAAAGCAATTAACATAAACATATTTTTAAATGTGCATTGTAGCAATACAGCAGTTGCCAGTACTTTTATTAAAACGTCAAAAACTTCATGTATTTTATGAATTTGGTTATTTTTAATTTATTTTATTTTAATTTATTTATTTTAATTTATTTTATTTAGACCCTTATTGGTCTTTTGAATGTCAAACATAGTTATAATATTATTATAGAGATAAAAAGTGTCAGTCTGTCATTGGCCAGTCCTCTTATTGAACCTATTTGGTCGTTCCAAAGTGTAGATTCTAATGGAGAAGAACGAGCCATACCAATTTCATTATAATTTTTACGTAAAGATTTGCAATAGAAATACATATGGCATATCGTCAAATTTTCAAAGTTTCAGTTCTGATGTTCAAACAATAATTCCACTTAGTTCTCTATTGCAAGGCACTCTAAACCAGCTATCTTTCGCAAATCGGAAAATTAAAAGCATACATTATGCATACCTGAATATCTTTGGCGATTTTTATCCAATCAGCTTCAGTCATATCGGATGAGTCCAACAGTGGGTCGTACTCCTTTATTTCATACAGAATTCTCCACGTTACATCATCAGTTTCTAAGAAAAATCCAACATTAGGTACAGCCAATTCGTATTAAAAATGGACTAAGTTGTATTGGGCTTACTTACTGGGTAACGCGAAGAAATTTTCCAGACTTTTGTCGGCTGGCGACGCTTTCATAATTTTCTGGTGATAATTTTCATCATGCAGCTGTGGATACCTTCTTATCGAAGGCTTGAACATATTTTTACCCGGAGATAGACCTGTTAACAAAATAATACACAATTAAATTCTGCTTCGTGGTTTTCTGCGCAATAAGAATCTCATCATAAAATTAGCCAAACCAGACCCGAGCTTTCGGCGCGTTGCGTACCGAGCGCGCCTGAATAGACCACTACAATGTTCAGTGGGGGTTGCGGGACAAGAGCAATATCGGCCTCAGCCTAGAGAAGAAGGAATGGGGCATTTAATTTTCCCATCAAAAAAAGCTAAACTATTGTATTGGTACCATGGTAAAACTGCTTAAAAATCTCCTGTGTCCAATCCATACATTGCATGTGTTATGACAACCATGACCTACTTCTGTCAAAATAATGGCGCTGTTACTCTAACAATGTTTACTAACCGATGTTGCTTTTGAGGAAGTCGGTACTCAAGTATAGGTATTACACACACTTGAGTGGCAAAAGAGTGAACAAACGTATATCAATTAATATGACCAAAGGTTTAAGCGGGTAGGAAGTCAGGAGTATGTATTAGTTTGGCCAAAAACGCAGCGATTTAGTGTGGAGCAACGTTCTGTAAAATAATATTTTCTACCACATTCCACAATAGTCCTGCAACAACCGCGAATCGCCAGGATAATTTCCGGCCGATGTCCCATTTCACTAATATTAAAGTTTTTAAAGAGCTTATATGAGTTAAATGGAAACGAACACACGAAATAATAATAATAATTTAATATCGAGACCTTAGTATTTTATAGTAATAACAGTTCTAAATTATGTTTTTGCACGTTGCACGCTTGCACCTTGATCTTTGTAACAAAAGCATTCGCAAAAATTGACAGGAACCCTTAACATTTCCATTCATTTCCGGCACGCAGCTGGAACAACCAACACTAAGTAAATATTGCATCAAGTGAACGTCAAAGGAACCAATCACTGTGATTGCAATGTTTCGCAAAATAAATGGCTTCTTGGAATTAAGTAATTTGCTCATATCGTTGTAAAGGTTGTTTGTCGAGTACTCTCGTAATTTTCTCAACTGCCTCATTTATGAACTGCGACTCCCGAAGAGGTCATGGATTCATATCCACCGGTTCAGGTAACTGAGTATTAAAATATGTTAGAAGCATGGAATGTGGAATTGAGACTCGCAACGCGTCACTTATTGTTTTAAGGAAAAAATATCAAATTATTTATTTAATAATTTATGTAGACACAGTATGTTTTACAAGAAAAATAATACAACAATTATTGTACCAAATTGTTAAGGCACAGCTTATTTCTTTAAATTTTTTTTCCAGCAGGCCCGTTATGGGAGAGTTACAATAAACAGTTGTGTAGACTGACTGTGTAAACATATTACGAAAAAGAAAAACAATAAGAATTAATAAACTAACTATTAAACAGCAAAAACATAAATACATAACATATAAACACCAAATAATATATCACTTAATACACATTTAAATATATACCTATAAATACAATAAATATTCTAAACACTAAGCATTTATGATAAGGCAAGATAGTGCTCTTTCAATTTGCGCTTTTATTTATGTCGCCCAGGGTGAGACGAGAGAGAGTGTCAAACTGTTACTGACTAAAAACCCCCCGTTCCTTCTCCTGCTTTAGACTGAGGCCGCAGTATCATATTGCGCTAACCGCGCACAGCAGGGCCCTGTTTTAAGGGAGTCTATCAGCTGTTTAAGGCGCACACGGAACGCTACGCGCTGTACGCTCGGGTCGGATCTTTCCCCTAAGGAAATAAATGGTATGATCCAATGTTATCTATAAATGCCATTATATTGCGCGGCTGGTGGCCAATTGATTAAAGAAGCAAGTCCGTATAGGAGCTGTTATAAAAATGATCGACTTGCCCTTATTATAGGGATCTTACAAAACTGAACATAACAAATTCAACCTTAACTCAACAGCGTAACTCACAAAAAGCTTGAGAATTCGGGAATCTTTTCCAAATTTCGTCGGTCGGCTTGACCGGAGTGATATCATTGTCTCACCAGAATACCAGCGTGAAACAACCTCACCTCGTTGTTTCAACCGCCGCGTGAGTTAGGTTACCGGAGTCACAATCCTTAATCCTTACCCTGTCCACATCCGTCCCCATCCCCAGCCTTAAAAGCCTACAACTCCTTATCCCCATAACGTCGGCAACGCACTTGCAGTTTCTGTGGTCCATAAGCCATACCACATAAAAAAACAAACCTAGTTAACTAGGTAGATAAGAAATAAACTTACACGATATGTCAGTTAACAATCTACATTCCATCTTCCTTATCAGAGAACACAATCTGCGCATAATGAGATTGAAGTTTACGATTGTGATAAGAGAAACGATCTATTTATTCACTATGATGATAACTAAATTTGTACTTAATATGTACATATTAAAGGTTTGATTCTCTCAGGGCTGATTATTCAATAGTCAGATAAATGTTATATGAGGAATAAAATTGTTGCTGTCACTGTCTTATACAAACATTCTGAGGCGACAGCATCATAATTATTCCGTATGTAACTTTTATCTAACTATTGAAAAATCAGCCCTAACCAGTGCTTTGCTCGGGCATCCGACTACTCCGACAGTCATTTGTTTTGTTAGCGAACGGCCACACAGCACCGAAAAGATTATTATCGTTTTACTTTTCTCAACATTCTTTCGAAGTACCTTCTCCTAAACATTTCGAACATAACGAAAAAAGTATTGGGAAAATTGGTCCAGGCTTTATTGAGTTGGGCTTTGGTCAGCAGTGGGCACTTAGAGGCTCATGTGATGTGATTGAACCTGGTTCAATAGACTCCATGACTCACTCCATAGAAGCGAGTTATGAATTGACTTCGGTACCGACCGAACTTATTACGCAATGTACCTAACTTAAAAATTAGCATTTCCACTTTTTGAGAACATCCTATAAATGCTCTTTAATTACTATTTTATCATATTAAAAAGCAACCTAACATTCTAAGAATAAGGTCTAAAGTATCTATGTATTGAACAGTTAATATAACAAGCACGCTGATCGTCGTGTGTTACACATATTATCTCAATATTATAAAACGTCAAGAGTAAATATTTATAATAATATTTTTACTCTACTACTTAATAGATAGCCTTGATACGTACTTTATAGTGTGTGGTTAAACTGGGTTATGTAATTAGCTATCTTGTGTACCTATTCATTTAGAATTCTATTTTCTATAGCATAGGGTAGCTAGTTGACTGAATTCCTGACCGTAAAAAATCGGCGCTGTTCACAGACGCCGCAACCGAGCCAAACTTAGGTATTTTTTATGTAACTAATAAGATGGCAAACGAGCCTACGGATTACCTGATGGTAAGCAATCAGCGCCGCCCATGTGCATCCGCAAAAACGGATGAGTTACGACTGCGTCGCCGACCTTTTGGGGGTTAGGGATTTTGCAATATTGGGTTTGGGGGAGGGAAAGGATTGGGCCTCCGGTAACCTCACTCACAACGCGGTGGTTGTTTCACGCCGGTTTTATGTGAGGGCGTGGTATCACTCCGGTCGAACCGACCCATCCGCGCCGAAGCATGGCTCTCCCACTTCATTACAACAACGCACGTTGCAATCAAAAAATAATTCGTCTGCTCGTTCGCCGACCTATCATAGAAAATCGAAAATCATATAGACTATTTATTTATATCATGGATTTACCCGAGGCCTTATGTTATTATTTAGGTATAATACATCTAGACTAATGCCCGGTTCCTATATTTAACGAATCGTCGTTGTATACGCATTACGACCAAATGACATTACGAATAGTTATCTTGACCGTCTACTGACGGTTAAAATATTTATAGGAAAATCACAGACACCATAGATCTCCATACAATTCGCTTACCGATATCCGTTAGTTGCAAACCGTCAGTAAGTTGCACGACGAGACGTTTGTTATAGGAACGGTTTTAGCTTACGAGTCGTATATAAAACTACTATTCGTAACTAAAACGGATCGTTTCACAATTATAGGAACCGGGCATAATAGGTATTCTACTAACTACCTACGTTTGTGTGAAACAGATTGTCAATAAACATAGCGCGCCCCTCATATATGCGTAACAAATTAACATTTGCACGTCACAGAATACTATTATTGACTGTACTTAACTTATTTATTAACATGAGTTAAATAGGATTAATATAACAAACCTCTTTTTGACGAGACTTGTAATATAACGTGTCATTGATGAAGCCAAAAAAAGATTTTTTGATGATCATCAAGGGGTAAGGGAATAAGGTAAAGTTTAATAGGGAGAAAATATTATGACGTATTAAGAAAGAAAGAAAGAAAAGACATTTAGTCAGCACCAGGCACGATGCAGCATATAAAAAGACAATAAAAGTGTGACAGTAGAAGTAAGATAAACATGAGTTAAAGATTAAAACAGATGAAACAGAAAGTAGAAGCTACAACATGGCCATGCTAAATGGGTTACCCACTCAGTGTAAGCTAGGCATACAAGTCGCCCAGCACTGATTTTCAGTGGGCACCCCTGCAGTGACGCACGGATGGTAGCAACGTTTTATAGCTAGACAAAGACAAACAAAAATATATAAGTATATAATATGTATGTATAATAAGAATATAGATACTGGACTGGACGACATGGATTCCCAGACCCCCTCCACTCAGGCGAGGCCGGAGTGCCACTGGGTTTTTTAGTGGGTATACCGGAAACGTCTTTACCGGGGAGTCCCACATAACCCTCTCCCGTCCCCCGACGGGAAGGGTATGCGTAATAGCATTTTTCACAGTGCCGCAAAAAAAAAAAGTTGGAGTGCCGTCGCTACCTTTTGCGAGGTCGTGATGCTCGCAAAGGAGGCGGTGGAAAGGGAAAAAGTTAGTCAGAATTGCACGGTATCTAGCTTCGACATTTTGATAGCATTTGATAGCTAATAAGAAAAAACTGACAAAAGAGTAGATGCACCGCGCGTCTTCGTGTCTAGAATATGTATGTGTCTTATTAGTAATACTAGCAGTATCCCGCGGATCCGCCCGCCTGGATGTCGATTTTAAACTTTTTCAAGTTCACGCTTTTCTGTTGAAAATTCTCTCTTTCTTTCCAACGAATGCAAAACCGTGGATATCGGTTCGTGCGTTCTGTAGTTATTATAGTTCACGAAAACCCGACTTATTTTTATGATTAGTAATATCGATTTTATACACTTACCTACATCCTTACATCCACATTAACATCCAACAGTGCTGCTAATATGAACTTAAAATACACAATACAAGAATCATTTTTGTCTAGAAGTTAATAGAGATGAAGTTAGAATTGATAAGGATAACTGGTCGGAAGTGGAACCGATGAACGTATGCCCTTATTTATCAATAATTTTAGATAACAATTTGTTTGCCCATTCATTAATGCAAGATATTATAATTAATACAATAACAACACATAAATAAATAGAAATATTTAATATAATAAACTCGAACGTTTGTGTACACAACTGAATGAATGTATTATTTCTAAAAATAATATTTTAAAAACCAAATATAAGTACCTATATTTAACTGTTTAAACACGTTTTGTGGAATTTGAATGAAACTTTTTGCGGTATAGCTACTAGCTGAAACTTATCTAAGTATTAATAAATATTATTATCAAATTAAAACAACTTATTAATATTAATATGAAACCAAATGATTTATCTAAAATTGTAAATTTTAATAATATCGATAGTATATCCATAACACGCTATAAACTGTTGATACTATTTTATGTCAACAAGTTCAAGTTCATATAACATTGGACATATATCAATAGCTACCCTCGCGCGGTTTCACCCGCTGCTCGGCTCCTACAGATCGTAGCGTGACGTTTTATAGCCCATAGCTCTCAGGAACATTGTAGCTATCTATCAGTGAAAGAATTTTGGCAATCCGACTAGCGGTACCAAAGATTATCCCCTACATACTAACTTACAAACTTACAAATTTTACCTCTTCATAATATTAGTATAGACGACCTCGCTGTGTGCTTGCCCTCTACTATCTCCAAAACACGAACCCCTAACACCCAAAAGGCCAACAACGCACTCGTATCTCTTCGATATTGCGGTTTTCCATGGACAGCGCCGATTGCTTACCATCAGGTGATTCGCTGGCTCGTTTTTACCGACCTTTAACCATAAACAAAGTTGTTGTAGGCACCAAATTCTCAATTTTGTGAGTAATTACGTAAATAATAAGAATGTTAAATCTAGCAGTTTCCCTATACGGCTGATGTTTAGCCGGGGTTGCGGGGTAAGCGCAATGAGGCACCGCGACCTCGGCCCAGAGCATGAGAAGGAACAGGGGGGTTTTTAGTCAGTAAGAGTCTGACACTCCCTCCCGTCCGGTCCTGGGCGGGAGAAGTCATTTGATGATTTTCCCATCACAAAAAAAAATCTAGCAGTTTATCGTACCGAGAATTTTTTTCTTAACACTCAATCATAACTTAATTTAAGTTACTCCCAAAATCTTGTTAAACAAAACAATAATTAGTAACGTAATTCACTCAAATTAATTTTGGTGTGATAAAGACCAAAATAATTGACTGCATGACGCGGTGGTTGACCTGGCTGCTGCGCAACGTGTCGCTACTGGTTCGAAACAAACACTGGACAACGTGTCGCTGCACGGAACAACTTTTTGTGTGATCCACAAATCGTTGTTCCGGGTCTGGGTGTGATGTGTATATGAAATTGTATGTTTGTAAACGCAACCACGCGACAGGAGAAAATCCTAGAGAGGGGCAACTTTTTTTTAATGTTCTCCGCTTTGCATATAACGTAAAATATTAAAATAAGACAATCATTATTAACGCTTAGTAGTTAAGTAAAACAAGCACCAACACAAAATAATATTGATATTGAAAATCCAATGTTATTCTCATAGGATACAACGATCAAGTTCACAAGATCACAACTACTTACATAGGTAGATAAAAGATTATTTATACTTATATTCAAAAAGAGAAACAAAACGAAACATATTTATCGTAGGCTCAAAATAGGAACTTATTTTTAGAGATAGAAAATAGAAAACGATCCATATGTAACGTAGGTAGATTCAAAAAAGGAACGTATTTTTAGAGAAGCTACCAAACTATTTAAGCTAAAGACTCACCATCGTCAGTCTTCACCATTCCAATCGTGCCACCGGTGTAAATAACCAAAACACGCCGCTCTCCCGCATCATTAGCTTTTGACAACCTTCTCCCTCTATTAAACTCCACATGAAGATCAGCACCAAGTTTATTTAAATCGATATTATTCAATTTTTTCAAACTATCACCGTTTACCGCCATTTTTTGACAGCTATACTTTTTTTAACGAAGTTTATTACGCGCAAATGTCAACGGTTATACGGCCAGCGTTGCGTTCCACGCGGCACTGAAACTCGCACTGAGTGACTGGCTACTGAAATCGCTCCCAAGTCTCGCGTTATCGACACGTGCATAAATAAACGACGACACTTACAGCTTCTTTAGTAATGCGACATTTCCAGTTTAGAATCTTATGACCGAGTGATGTGATTGGCCCTGACATTAAACCTTAATAAGTAGGTACTTAAATTAAAAGATATGCATGTTATACAATAATCATAATAGGTATTTAAATACCGAAATAGCAAAGAGGTCAAAATCCTTCTTAATATTGTTAACGCATATGCGTACGCGAGCATATTTTACATCATTCACCAGTTGGTCCAACACAATTACTGGTACCTATTGGATGACATATAATAAAGGCATGTGCGTGGTAAAAGCTGTACAAACAATAATTTAAGACAACTTATATACATATATTGAGTATGGAAAACCCCGTCAATATGAAACCGCATACTTCATTGAGTTTCCTTAATGTTCCTACTTATTAATAAACTGTATTAACCTCTCACCTATGTGACTGCCTAGGGCTGATTGACCCATGATTACATACTAGTTAGGGCCCATGTCCATCCTTGAGTCGATCAAGAGCAAGAGCAGTAGCGAAGACAGTCAGTCTTTTTCTTGGCGGAAGATATTGGATAACTTGTCTCGATAAAAACACCAACATGACTAGGCCATGTATTTTTTGTGGAACAAGCCCGTTGCCGCCTTTAAAACCCGCTGCAATTACTATCAGCCAGGATCTACAGTAGATACAACCATGAAAACACCGGAACACCGAAGTCCGGCGCGTCCCAGGAACATGAATGACTGTCCTGGATCCCGCAACGAAATATATCAGAAGATATTATTTGAGGTGAATAAAAAACTAAATAATTTCCACTTCCCTTGATAAATTTAATGCAGGAGACAGAATGACTTAAGCCTTAAAGGCACTGTACAAGTGGGAGATGCCCAGTCACCAAACACCACGGCAAAATTAGCATCATAATTGTAAAGGTAAAAAGTCGTGGTGGCCCGGAGGTTAAGGCGCCCGCTTCTCATGCATGAGGGTGCGGGTTCGAAACCTGGCAAGTACCAATGTGACTTTTTCCGAGTTATATGTACTTTCTATAATTGATGACACCACTGACATACGGTGAAGGTAAACATCGTGAGGAAACCTGGACTTATAATTTCTAATTATAAGTTTGAAATCACCAACCCGCATTGAGCAAGCGTGGTGATTAATGCTCTAACCTTCTCCGTGTGAGAAGAGGCCTTTGCTCAGCAGTGGGCACTTATAGGCTGATGATGATGATGATGATGAATTGTAACGGGACCAGTTCAGTTCTAGAATAAATAAGACCATTCCAAGAATTTGAAAAGCCTATGCTCTTTGAATTATAATAGCAAATAGACAGAAAAACTAATGCTATCATCAGCATGTTATCAAACCCTATCTGTAATTCCATAGCAATAGCCATAAAGGCAATTGCCTGCCATACAAGTTTCTTCGGGGACTTTTTTTTGTGTGATTGGTCGACAAAGCAGCAGGCGGATTACCTGATGGTAAGCAATCGGCACCGCTCATGGACAGCCGCAAACAAATCAGAGGAGTTATGAGTGCGAGGCCGTTTTCAGGATTAGGATTACGTAGATTTAGGGATTGTGGAAAAGTTAGGATTTAGGGCCTCCTCCTAACAGAGCTAAACACAAAGCAGTGGTTGTTTCGCCATTTTTTTATGAGCCCGTGGCATCATTGCGGTCGTGCTGAACCATTCGTGCCTCAGCCTGACTCTACCACACTTTATAATAAAGAACATTCTAACAAGATAACAACTGAATTTCGCCTTAATTAATACTTTGTAAATAAATTATGAACAATATTTTATAAAACATAAAAGTGTGCCTTTTGAAGAGTAGCAAATTAATAGGAATATATTATTATTCTGTTGATCATTCGAGCGTACTCGACTGGTTTCAAACTACGATCGGGGCTTATAGTTTTTGGATAGTTGAGATATTTCGTTGTTCAATTTTATTTTTTGTATTAGGTAAGGTTAAAATTGTACCTGATGCTTAATTACCTTCATCCGTTTTGACCATTCCAATGGTACCTCCAGTGTAGATAGCTAAAACTTTCTTGTCTTGATTAAAGCTCTTTGGTTTATTCCACTGTTCAATACCTTGATGTCGAGTAACCTCCCACTTCTGTACTTCCATATTAGTCATTAAGAATCCAAGACAAGTGTGATTAACTTATAATTTTCACTACACTAAAAAAAACTTAACTTAAACGTTTAATTTTTAAATAGATACGTTTGTTGACGAAGGAAAATATAATTATGTTATGTATGACAATTAAAATTTTGATTGATTGATTTTTTAAGAGAATTTGAAGTAGACACTATTGTTAGGTATTATAATAGTTCTGTCATTGGTATTAAGAACTGTTTGGTAAGATATAGCCCCAATACCCAAGAAAATAATTTATTCGAATCTGTAGCCACGAGAACAGCTAACGGTAAGTGAGATAATATGGTAATTTCTCTGAGATACTTTTTTTTTATGTAATTGGTCGGCAAACGAGTAGACGGATTATCTGATGGTAAGCAATCAGCGCCGCCCATGGACACCCGCAACGGAGGAGTTACGAGTGCGTTGCCGACCTTTTAGGGATTAGGGATTTGGAGATTTAGGGATTGGGGAAGGGTCCGGGAAGGGGAAGGATTGGGCCTCCGGTAACCTCACTCACACGGCGAAACACAATGTTGTGGTTGTTTCACGCCGGTTTTCTGTGAGGCCGTGGTATCACTCCGGCCGAGCCGACCCATTCGTGCCGAAGCATGGCTCTCCCACACTTAAAATCGAGATCGTGGTTTTACTCTAGTGGAAACGACCCATTCGTGCCGAAGCATGGCTCTCCCACATTAAGCATATCTTGCCCTCCATTACGCATCATTAATGAAATAGGGCAGTTTGTAACTAGTCAAATAATGAAATAGCACATTCCGACTCACTGCAAACATCATTTTTAATCTTGGATTTTCTTTTTTTTATGAGAGTTCGGCAAACGAGCTGTCGGATTACCTGATGGTAAGCAATCAGCGCCGCAGATGGACACCCGCAACGGAGGAGTTACGAGTGCGTTGCCGACCTTATAGGGATTAGGGGTTTGGAGATTTAGGGATTGAGGAGGGATTGGGGGAGAGAAAGAATTGGGCCTCCGGTAACCTCACTCACACGGCGAAACACAACGCTGTGGTTGTTTCACGCTGGTCTTCTGTGAGGCCGTGGTATCACTCCGGTCGAGCCGACCCATTCGGAATAAACGAAGATTATGATCATAATTTCTTTTTGACTGAGTAAACTACTAAATTGGAACCGCGCAAAGTCGGGGTGAGCAACCAGTAGTCAATAAATAGAAAGGTGAAATAAGATACTACCTATAACATAGATTGTAAGTAATTTATGTACCTATAGTGATAGCTTATACCTCTCATTGGCTTTCCCAGTTTCCTAGTGTCACATTTCTAGGTATCTGTATGAAACCATTCAGTTTTCTAGCGGTCTTACACTGGCTTGCACGGTTTTTCGCATTTACTTATTTATTTTATAAAAATCTTATAATGGTAAGTACATTTTAAATTGTATAAAGATTAAAAATGAATTCTGCTTATACTTAATACTATTTTTTTAGTAATCCATAGAACCTAACGGTATCACGACAATTACTAAAAGATTATTATTCATTCGATACGATTCCATTTTTGAAAATCGAATTCCTTCTCTATTAAAAATTAAGAAGACAACTATGCAAATCGAATATTATTTATTTCCGAATATAATTATAAGTCAAAAGTCAAAAAAAAATTAGTATATTTTGAAACTTCTATATTAATAAAAAATAATCCTAAAATGTTTTCTGTTGGAAAGCGCATAACGCCTGGAAGAATTATGCCAATTCTTTATTTGTTAGAGTGGTGTAGCTGGAGTAGGTTCTTAGGGAGGAACTTTTTAGTAAAGTAAAGGAAAATATCGGGAAATAGCAACCCTTTTTGTTCCGTAGCGGTTTACTAACAAAACTAAATACTGACAACGGCGGTCAGCTAGATGTCAAAAAAAAAATGTTTTATTTCGAATTGCCCGTCTGTTATGACTACGCGTTATTTTGTGAGGGTAAACTCATTGAACTGAACGAAGACAGGTGAGAAGGAGTGTTGAACTGTTTATTACTAAAAAAATGTCAACTCCTAAGTGCCTGGTGTTTTTGCCCGCAAGCAGTGAGACTTCACATAAACGAGGTCGAAATGTCACTGCGCCTAGCCCTGTGATTGGTTGTGTGTAACTTTGAGCGCGCCAATCAGATCGCAGAACTGAAACTTGTCTATTGCATTAACGTAAAGCAAATTCGCAGTCGGTACTCTGCTCCAAGAAGACGTCATAGCACAGCATTGACTATGAACTAAATAATAATTCTATTGTCATCAGGTTTTTGAAGTGGCAGGTATTTTAGCTCCAGTGTTTACTCCCATGACAGACACAGGTGCTGTAAAATTGTCTGTCATACCCGCTTATATGGAACACTTGAAGAAACATCGAGTCGACGGTATTCTTGGTAAGTTATCAGTAGTTATAATAGTTATAATTTTAATTTAAATAGCTATGCAACCGAATAACCTTTAAATACTTTGTAATTTGATAATATTTTTCACGGTGTAGGTCGAATAACTCAGTGTGATTGCTTTAAATTGCATTTTTTCTATTATGTGTCGTGTCCAGAAGTGTGGGAGAAGTGAAAGGATCCATATAATAAATAAAAAAAATATATAAATCTCAATTTTAAATATAAACCTGTCTTTACCTTGAATGAAGTCTGGGAGCACTGCTAGTCCTCAATAAATATATTTTCCCATGTTAGTAGGTGGAACCACAGGCGAAGGTATGTCTCTGGACGTGGAAGAAAGGAAGTCTCTCCTCGAAGCCTGGATGTCTGTCGCCAGACCACTTAACACTAAGGTCATTGCTCAG